CAAGGCAGGGAATGAAATAGATATGAAATTGCCCAGGCAGGGATATGAAATTGCCCAGGCAGGGATATGAGATTGCCCAGGCAGGGATATGAAATTGCCTCAGGCAAGAAATGAAATGAATATGAGATTGCCCAGGCAAGGATATGAAATTGCCCAGGCAGGGATATGAGATTGCCCAGGCAGGGATATGAAATTGCCTCAGGCAGGGATATGGAATTGCCCAGGCAGGGATATGAAATTGCCTCAGGCAAGAAATGAAATGAATATGAAGTAGCCCAGGCAGGGATATGAGATTGCTCAGGCAAGGATATGAAATTGCCCAGGCAGGGATATGAAATGAATATGAAGTAGCCCAGGCAAGGATATGAAAAGGCAATGAAATTAGGCTGGGTAGGCAATGAAATTAAAAGTCAGGCAAGAATGAAATAGCAATGAAACAATGCTGGGTAGACAATGAAATGGAAGGACAGGCAGTAATGAAATTGCAATGAAGTAGTATTGAAATATGTCTCAGGACAGTTATGAAATAGTCATGAGAAGCACTGGTAAAGAAATGAAATACATTTCATAAGTTTTGCCTACTCTTCTCATTTCATAAATTCATTAGGCAGTGTGGATGTCGGTGTGCAGGCACTTGCCTGTATTTTATCATAAAAGTGGTAGCTACTAGTGACCGACCCTTGAAATGATCTTAAAACATACGTTGATGGTGATTTCAACAGTGCTTGAACCAGTGCGGGGAGAATCAAACAATATTTGCATCACGGCGTTCGAGACTGAAAGCATATCTAATGGTCCTGCTTGAGTAACTAGGAATAAAGGTCATGAAACACTTACTCTTGACTCCCATCAGCGGGAAACGAGTTCTTGATGTATCCAAGGAAATTGTTTGAGCCTGGCTGGTAAACCCTAATATACTTGTTGTTGTAGTTGCAACTACATCGAAACCTGAGTAGAGGATCAATGCAATTACGCTTTGCAGCCTTACTAGACACTAGATGGAGTCGAGCACTTGTCTGCCAAGAATTTATAAATTGTTACTTGACCAGAAACTCAGTGAGACTCACACTGGACGTGGGTAGGCCCACTGAGAGACCTTGGTGGAAGAAGCGGAAAACCCACTGCTAGTAGACGCTTTGCGTTGGTATTAGATCGGTTCGCTGCATTGGATAGGCGTATATGATGTCAGGCATGCGATGATGCGAGGGTGGATTGAATGAGTGTGAGGAAAAGAAGGATGACAATATTTTGAAAGTTCAGCATTCTATACTTAGGATGAGAATGAAAGAAGGAGACAAGGAATGGTCGGACACATCACCACAGAATTTTCCAGTAAGGTTGATGATGGAGAAAGCGCCAAATTGGGTAGTGTGCAGCCCAAAAATACCCGAATTGTATTCTCGCCGTTGAGCGGGAAATCTTGAACTTTTTGTCTAGTCATTGAAGAAATCCTCGCACCAAGAGATTTTTGAAGCATGAATTGTCTGTAGGGAAATTGTAGACTGGCGAGCGGTAAGTTGGGGATTTCAAACCCAAAAGTGAGGTCGAATTTTCAACCCATGGGAATAAATTACCATATATGGAAGGCATTATTGTGTCATAGTAGTGACACGTGACACTTTCAATCTGCTCTCACACACCTCCTCTTTGACCTAAGTGTATGATCCTCCCTCAATTTGCAAGCCAATACTCAAACTGGTACTCAAGGTCAACACATGCTAGGTAGTGCTTGGAAGTCCAGTCCCAAGACTGCAAAAAGACCACAACTGGACCAGACCAAGACTGCAAAAGACTGGACCTGCAGTCTTGGTCTTTCAGATTTGAGATCACAAGACTGCAAAAAGACTGGTTAACATGGACCGGTCTTGTCGGTTAAGACCGGTCTTCTGTACATACATAATAACCCTTCAAAACGCACCTAAGATCATATTTTTAGGCCAAAAACTGACAAAGATACATACAATTTACAAAACTGTAAAATATTTCATGAAAATAGCAGATGTACCTTAGTATTTTTGTATACACATCAATTCTCAACGTAATTTAACGTTCTTGCACTTGTTTAGAAGCTACGAAAAATGTCAATAAATTTACCGACTCATAATTGCAAATTCTATCGCATATTTAGTTGAAAAACCGGTCTTGAACTGGTTGTAACCAGTTTGGACCAAGACTGGTCCAAAGACTGAAAAAGACCACAGTCTTGGTCTTTTCTGGTCCTGGTCTGGTCTTTTGAAGTTTTAGGAATTGTGTGGACCGGTCTTGGTCTTGGTCTTTTTGTTTTGGGCCAAAAAACCGGACTGGACCGGACTTTCAAGCACTAATGCTAGGTGATACAACCAAAATGTGGGCCTTTCACCATTAATTCATACAGCTTACCCAGACTGTTTTGCAGCTGCATTGTTTACACTTTTTCACACTCCTGGCACTACAATCTGTGCAGCTGCAACAGTTTTATTGCAGTTACATAGCAAGAGGCGTCAGATCCTCCAATCCCAACCGTTGTTCCCACAGCATGAGGGTACCACCCTCATACCATATTAGGGAATCTCACATGATGTGGCTTGAGACGGCTTATTCTATGAGATCAAAATGGTATCAGTACTGCATTCACCCTTGTCCGAATCTCCAGACGTGTCCTTGCTTCGGAAAATGGTCGAATAAGTTTGTGAAACCACATTCTCTCTCTTCGGACAATTCTACTCTACCTCCTCGTTCAATCAAATTGATTAAAATACTCCTACTGACAACATTGCTCCCCTTCATGATCTCTCGTTCTTTGCAACTCCAGGAGTTCCGTGAAAAAATCACTCTAGGTGAAGGGGAAGGAACAAGACTAGGCATTCCAGATGATAGACAAGGGCTAGCACCATGACCGATGTGCACTATGCAAACCTGTTGTAAGCTGTAAGTTGTATCTTCTATCTTACTTCCCAGAATCCCAATGAGCGAGGTAGAGGCCGAGGGAGAAAAATACCAATCCTTCATCATTTTATCATTAAATTCTAATCCCATCTATTCAACTACCAACACCATCAATTCACCACCCACCATCTTTTTTTCGCAGTGTTACTACTACCAACTCAAATTTCTTTCTTTGAAATTGTCTTCCCATATATTATCCTTGCTTCTTCTTCAAGAATTAGCACAATTTACATTACCTCTGATTTGATGTAGTTTCGTGAATACTACAAATAGGTGATATCCTGTGGTACATGAGCCTTGGACTCAAAATTGATGCTCAAACACTTGTGCAGTGGAGTTGATGGGAATGCTAGATGCCGCTGACATGCCATCCTTTGGATATCACCACTTGTGCTTTGTCATAAATGGATCTGACAGCCAGAATCGGTGGATCTGACACCTCTTGTTACATAGCATGTCCTGCTTCACCAAACTAGTGTTTGAAAGTCCGGTCTGGTCCAGTCTTTTGACACCCAGGGGCTTTAACTGTAACCATAACCGGTCTACCCTTTTCCCAGAAGTCAAAAAGACCGGACTGGACTGCAAAAGACCGCAGTCTGTGGTCTTTTTGTGGTCTTTAGACCGGTTTCGGTCTGCACCAGTTTTAACTGGTCTATGACCGGTCCTTAGGCTAATATTTTAAACTGATGAATCAGTAAATTTATTAACATGTCTACTGGCTTTAAAACGAGCCCAAGAACGTTAAATTCGGTTAGGAATTGGTGTTTCTGTAAAATAAATCAGGTACATCTACTATTTCCAAAAATATTTTACAATTTAATTCATGTCTCTCTCGATTCTTTACCAAATTGTATGTTCTTTGGTGCATTTTAAAGGGTATTTAGGGGGCTACAAAAGACCGGTTCACGTTAACCGGTTTTCTTGTGGTCTTAACATCTCAAAAATAAAAGACCATAACCGCAGGTCTGGTCTTTTGCAGTCTTGGTCCAGTCTGGTTACAGTTTTTTCCAGTCACGAGACCGGACTTCTAAACGCTATACCAAACCTTCTTTTACAGCCATACCAACTCTCACTGACAGTTGCTTCTATAGCCAGCAGGAGTTCTGTCAATTGTACTGGGAATATCTGACTATTATCTGTCATATAGAATACTAAATTTGATGTACAACGTCTCTTGATGCCATCTCAAGGCCTTTTCTTCCTTCAAAGCACTGTGTGTGGCCACCCAGTCATGAATTTAGGCTTTACAGGGCAGATAAATGATAATTAATTAACAAGGTTGAAAAGATTTTTTACGACCAGCTGGCTGGACTAACTAACCAGCCTGGTATATCAGGTTCAATCCTGAAACCCCCTTGAATTCACCCCAGAAGGTTGATTGCAAATGGAATACTGCCACAAGCTCATCTGGGTTGAGAAGGTAGGTAGACTTGAAGAAGATGAGAGTAAGCACTTGTTGAGAATTTGTGTTTGACTCTGGTAATGGGATGGTTATAGTCATCCACCCACCAATGATATGCCACCATCATTTGATACACTTTTGACCAACTAATATCTCACTCAATACTACATCAATCTTTGTGAAATAAATTGTAACGTGCACTACAAGGTCACATCTACCGTAGTACAAAATCTGGGAACAATTGAAGCAGTATTGGTGCTGCTGTGAAGTTTTCAAAATGGACTATTTTTGGAAATTGCTGCAATACAGTCACACCACCCAATGATACACCCATAATTTTGACTTTTCTTCCTGACATGTGGTTCAAACATTCTGAAATTTGGTAGGGTTATAGAATGTAATTTATCTCAAATATTTATGTAGTTTTTATGGCTGAATGTTGTACTTCAAATTGTTGGATGCAATTTCTCAGTTTCGGCATATCATTAGCAGGTGGATGACTGTACTTACAATCAGATAAGCTAAACAGCAACTGCCGGAAATCACTGGCACTTGGCAATCACAAACACAAGATGGGTGGCAATAAAATAAGCAAGATGGGTTTCTACCCCCTGTAGTCTTTGATCCAACCCCCCTTTTATGAGTATTGATCCAACCCCCAAAATAAAAGTACTGATCCAACTAAATATGAAGTACTGATTTAACCTTAAGGAAACTACAAACTCAACCCAAGTTTGTAATGTACTGATCCAACCCTCTTTTCAAGCTCTCAAAGTACTGACACAACCCTGCTTTTGAAGTTTTAAACTACTTATCCAACCCCTCTTTACAAGCTCTTAAACTACTGATGTAGCCCTGGTATATGATGTTCTAATACAACCCTTCTTTTGAATGTTTAACTACTGATCTAACCCTGGGTTTTATAGTTTTTAAACTCCTGATTCAACCCTGTTTTGTTTAATTGTGTACTGATTCAGCCTGTAGTATCTCCCATGGAAGTACTGATCCAACCCTGTTTTCTGCCTTACAGAACTACTGATCCAGCCTGGGTTTTTGCCTCACAAAAGTACTGATCCAACCCTGGTTTTTCCAATTTCCTAATTTGGACACCTGGCATCAGCTGCATGCACCTGCCACAACTATTGTAATCTTGACTCTGTACCACCATCTCCTCTCCATACTATGGCTAAAGGTCACAAGAAACATCAGGTAAGTCTGTTAGATTGATTCATTTCCCATCTAATATCACTGATGTGTGATAAATAGCACTCAACATCAACTCTGAAGGTGCAAGTCCTTCCAAGGTCAAAAATCATGCTAAGAGCTTTAAGAAGGTAGAAAGTACATGCAAATCTTCATTGGAAAATCTAACATGTGTATTTTAGCACAAGCACCAGCAGATCCTTGACTCAGATGACAACATGGACATTGATGATCAGAATAGTGATTCTGGCTTGCAGTCCAAGGCTAAGAAACTAAAGCCTCCTGTTAAGGTCCAGTATTTATATTTCTTTGATGCTAGACTCTGAAGTGAGATCTGTATATAGCCCACTTGCAAAAAACCTGGTCGTCCATTGAAAACAGATCAGAAGGCTAGACAAGATGTAGCTTATCTGTTATCAATCAAAAAGAATTATTGATCATAATCCAAATATGGTAAGTAAAAAACCCAGGTTGAATCAGTACTTTGATACATCAAAACCCAGGTTGAATCAGCACTTTGATACATCAAAACCCAGGTTGAATCAGTACTTTGATACACCAAATTCCAGGTTGGATCAGTACTTTAATACATCAAAATCCAGGTTGAATCAGTACTTTCATTATACAAAGTCTGGGTTGAATCAGCACTCTCATTATACAAAGTCTAGGTTACCTCAAAGCTCTCAACATCATAAAAGTAAAAGCTAAAGGTTGAAACAGGCTTTTGGAATCTGAATTAGAGCAGGAGTTCAAAACATTAAAAAAGATTGAATTTCCAGGGTTGAACTAGGACTTTAATATACATCAGGAATTTAATCTACTAAAACCTGGGTTGAATCAGGACTTCAGCATAACCAATATCCAGAGTTAAATCAGCAATTTCAAAACCTGGGTTGGACCAGAACTTAGATACAGTAAAACCTGGGTTGAATCAGGACTTTCAAAACCTGGGTTGTATCAGCACTTAAAAACACTGAAACCTGGGTTGAATCAGCACTTCAAGTACTCAATTTCCAGGGTTAGATAAGTACTTCCAAAAGAGTTGACTCAGTACTTAGAAAATGCTGGATCAGCACTTTTAAAAATGTTGGATCAGTACTTTATATATCTAATAATGGGGGTTGTCTCAGTACATTTGGGTTTTGCTGGGTCAGTACTTTGTAAACCAGGGTTGGGTCATAGACTACAGGGGGTAGAAACATATTTTGGATAAAATAAAAATAAAATGCTTGCTACTATCAATTTCTTTTCATGCATCATAAACCTATTTTCTATACCTCCCAGACCCAACCCCGACAAGTCGCCTCTCATCAAAAGGATCTTTGAGCATTATTTCAAAGCAACAAAAGTGTTGATGGCCGATGGCTCAACATTTACTATGCGTGCAAAAATATGGAGGTCATTTTATCCTTCGGAGGGTATGCTTGAGTTTGGGAAATATTCGCGTCCGCGTCTATTTTAAAATAACTATGTGTGGTGCACTTATGTATTTATGGAGACGGTATTTATTGGCACGTGTGAGAGGTGTTGCCTTTCGCTTGTTGATGGTTGTGAGGCGATTCCGTCAATGCAGAGGTCGGTGGGATGTTAGACCATAATTCTGGTCAGGCTGTTGGCTCCATTCACAAGCTAGAATAGTAACCTTAATATCTGGATGCCAATGCGCTCAAAATATACGTACATTGTGACGCTCAGTAAAAACGGTTCGTCAGCTATTGGTCATGTGGTAGTCCACCTATGGTCTTACATGACTAAAAGCAGTGATTTTTACATGATTTTGACTTTGAGTCGACTAGCCAACATCCATCCAAGTCCCATCATAGTCAACTAACCGTCACATTTTGGTATGTTTACATCACTACACTGATGTGGAGATGACTAACATGACTTATGGATGACCAGCGCTTGAAGTTGCTTGACTTTCGTTTTTACTGAGTGTGACGCGTTGCACTACAGGCGCCAAAAGTGCAGGATTCTATATGAGGCAAATAGAAGCGTCTAAAAATACTCGCTTCCGTACTTCTGATAAATTCGTTTTCTTTTCACACACTTCCCGTTTATTAACGCCCAAGTCCCCCACCCGCTTTTTTTTCCGACACCCCAACTACGAATAACCACCCTCTAAGAAATGAAGTTCCTCACTATCGCTTTTGCCTCATCTGTGGCGTCTGTTGCTTCAGCCTCGATAGCAAGTGCCCACTAATGTTGTTCAAATCATGTTAACTGACTCGAGCATCAAGGTGGTTAGAGTCGGCGCCACGTCGGGCGCAGAAGGCGGCATATTTCAGTACATTCCCAACACTTTCAACGCAACAAATGGCACTACCGTCACCTTTCAATTCACTGGAGCGTAAGCCACTCGATCTTTTCTTGAACGTGCAACCAATTAAAGAGTCTAAAGTCCAGGAAACCATACCGTCACTCAATCGAGTTTTGCTGACCCCTGTGATCCCCTCGCTGGAGGTTTTGACTCTGGCTGGGTATCCATTCCCTCCAGCCCAGCTCTGACTGCTGCAGATACGCCAGAATGGAATTTGACCATCACCGATGACACCAAACGTGAGTCTGCCAAATCATCCACGATTGATTTTTTGAAGTTGACAACAATTTCCCAGCCATTTGGTTCTTCTGCAAACAGATATTGCCCAGCGCCCACTGCACGTCAGGTACCCATCTGCGGCTCTTGTTCATGGAAGCGTGTGTTGCTGAAATTTGGTGAATCAATTAGGAATGGTTGGTGCCATCAACGCTCCCACCACCGGGAACAAAACATTTGCTGCCTTCGAAGCCGCTGCAAAAGCGTTCAAGGGTACACCTGCGGTAAGTGTTACGCCGTAATTTTTCCTACGTGGGTTTCAAGTGTCAATTCTTCCCATCAGCAAGTTGAAGGAGGCCTCGTTGGAGTGGGTGCGTCAGCGTCCGCTGGTGTTGGTCCAGTTCCTAGCGGGGTGAAGCTTTTCACGGCGTCGGCAATCGCCACAACTTCTACAAAATCCTCCGCCGCAACTACCTCTGGTTCAGCGGCAGCTGCTCCCAGCTCGACTTCTAAGTCGAGCGACGCAAAGAAGCTTATCGCTAGCTCCTTTGTGGTGCTCTTGGGAACAGCGATCGGCATTAGCCTAGCATAGTAGAGCTAGTATTTAGCGTCGAGACATACTTTCTACATTGTTGAAGGACCGAGAATGTTTTCAAAATGCTATTTAGCATATTTGGTTTATGAGCATCTCATCCGCTGCGACCAGCCCGCTAATAATTTAGCTGTATATTCGTTGGACTCGGGACTCGTTTTTTGATGATCTGAGTGCCGCCAGTCGCTTTGGTCTTAGTTAGGTACGTCACCGCAAAGTTATTCGCAAGAGATACGACTTGAACAAGTAAAGCGGTAATTGCTGCAATCACACCAAGCTTGTTATGGGCGTCAATCACCATCTCGAGGGGCTTCAAAGGTTGAGATTTCATTCAGAAACAAGTAGAATACGAAACGTACCCAAATGCAGCTTGCCCACGGGCCAGGGTTTTCAACGGAGTGCCAAGATAGTCAGCCGTATTGTAGAAAACATTATTACCTGTAACGGCAAGGCCATGAAGTTGGCATTCAAAAAGGGAAATGACTCACCCCACCATGCTTGAATATTGTTCAACCCAATAGTTTTATTTTTAGGATATTGTAAGCTGGAATCAATTCCTATTAACCGCCGGACCATGGACCATAGGAAGAACAACAGACCAGAAGAATATTAATACCACGGATATAGCCACTCCCGAATCAAGTGCAGCGGAGAGAACGTCTAACAATTCAATATGAAAATCTCGTGACAATTTGTAAAAGCGAAACGTACAGTTGTACTTGGTCCACCAAGAAAAATGACGGCGTCTGATGAGGTATTGGAAAGTGAAGCCCACAATCGCCCACGTCACGTAGTTTACTGCATTCGCAGGCGGAATTCGACCAGTTCCCGAAAGAACAACGCTAAGCAGTCAGTAAATCAACAAAAGAAGCAGTTACAAGATAAAACGACATGCGGGAAGCTAGGAGAATGAGCGCAGCTTTGAATTGGGAAAAAAGTATCTCGCACTTTATGTACCGAACCCACGAGTTCGGGAATCTTCTCGATAGAAGCCACGCAATGATTGGCAACAGAACACCCAGGGGAAAAAAGAAAACGAGGGCTTCTCGAAATATCAGCATGAGGTTCAGACGCGAAAGGGACTCGCTGACCACTACAATCAAAATAAAGGTTCAGCCCTGGAAAGCTTTTGCTTGGACTTGCCACATACTAATAAATTTGACCCTTCGAGAACTGACGCGCAGGACCAATGACACCCCAAATGATTGAAGCGGTCCCAAAGACCTCAGTGTTAGGACAGATGAAGCTAGAGGCACAGGTCAGTCAAAGTCATTATCGGGACTGGTCATTTCTCTCTTACCCGCTTTTTTGCAAAGGATCACACATGTCACTGGAACAAGAACAGCAACCTGAGTGGGGAAGCGTAGTTCAACAGTCGACCTTACGAGATATTGGTGAACATCCAAGCTTGAACTGCAAGTTGAGCAGTGCCTGCGATTACGGCGCAAATTACCTACAGTCATCAGACACAGTCAAATTAGGGCAGAAAGAGGGAGAGGTACTTGGGCGAAAAACATTGTTCTCGGGGGTATCTTCATGTAGCTTGCACAATGTCAACTTCTTCACATGGCCAGAAAAGAACACTCACTGTCCAAGTTTAAAGTCGGACGAAAAAGTCAAGGCTTCAAAGACGTGAACATTTGAGAGACGAAATAAGATTTCCAGTCAAACCTTGCGCCATCGTGATGTACCCCCATGTCTTAAACAACATCATAGCGATCGGACGACCAGGTAACATATAGCCAATGATGAGTTCCGCAATCACGCTGGGGCGCAATGAAACAGTGAGATTCGGGGGGCAGGAAGTTGAACATACTTTAAACCGACTTGCTGGTTCGTAATGGCTTGTATCATCCCGATTGGAATCACATACATGAAGGCTAACTTCCCACATCAATATCAACAACATCACCTAAGCGAGGACCTACAGATAGCTGTGGCCAAGATAAACGCTTGCGGAGGGGGGGGGGAGTTCAGTCCTTGAGAAAAACTAAGCTAGTGTCGACTTACCCCACACAGGTAAGCCAGTTTCCAGGACCTCAATAGATATAACCGCAAAAACGAACATGACGACTGAGTTCGTGACGTCAGCAAGCAATCATACGGAGGGAAAAGACGAACTAAATATTACTCCATAATACCACTCTGGCACCTGTTTGTACTTCGACATCAGACGTGCATGAATATCTGGCTGCTCCTTCAGGGAGCGGCGGGCTTGGGACCATATCTGCTTCCGGTAGAAGAGGAAGGCATGTGTGAGCGTCGCCGTAATCGCAGCAAAGGAGAGCCCGTATGATACGGCAAATGTAGCTCTGACACCAAAATCAGTGATTTGACGCGGGGGGTGAACGTTGAACGACTCACGACAAAAAGAGAGGACTGTAGGCTTCATATTCAGCGAGGTTTAGCGATGCGTCTGCGTTGATGATCCGCGACACATTGTAGGGAAGGCCTTTGTTATCGAATGAATTCCTTGAAGATATTCTTGACTCATGATTCAGAAGATATCAGTTGTGAAAGTTATAAACGAACGGAAGGTATTGGGTATTCCAAACGTTTGTATACTAGATCCATCAGTAGCGCGTTCAGCAAGCAAAGGATATAGACTGACGTAGACAACGGGAACGAAAAACCCTAAATTAAGATAGAGTGAGAAAGGTGTAAGATCTAGCGACCAATGTTGAAGGGAGCTTACAACAGAAAAACACAAAGCCGCAGACAATATTGACTTCTGCCCACCCTAACGAGAGCTGTCAGCAAGGGCTCTCCTAGTTATTTCACTATCCGAAGAACCTACAAGGCGTCGCGAGACTGGGTGATTACACATGTTAAAAACAAATACGAGTGCTTTCAATTGAAGACTCACGGGCTACCGATGTAAGCGATTTGAGCCCAATCGAACGAGACGAGGCTATTAAAAATTGAGAGGCGATTAGAAAGAGTTAACCAGCGCAAGACGGTTCATACCTCATCCCCTAAATTGTTCGAGGAGATGTTTCAGACGAGTGATGAGAATTGGACTGCCTACCATGCCATGCGTAAATCTGCAAACCAAGGGTGATAAACCATCGGTGTCAATAAGGAGGTTGTAGAGCTCACCCAAACATTTGGTTAACGATCTGAATCGCAAGGCGATTAGTTGAACCACATGCTAGGTAGATCTTACCCACAACATTTCGAGGTACGATCCAACAGACCTAACGGGTGATAACGTGAGAGGAAGAAATCCGTGGCCCAATGCTACACGTTTACCCAATTGAATACACTTGCGGATTCGGTTAGAAAACGTTCACCAAGCCAATAGATATAAGGATGACCCACCTCAGTGCTTGGAAGAGATATCCAGGGACAATATCTTGTGAAGTCAATTGAATACGCGAGTATAACAAAGGACATGAATGAAAACATACACCACACCGCGGATGCGAAGAAACAATAAAGGAAAAACTTCTCGCGGCTCAAGCCACCTCGATCTCCCACCCCAGCATATGTCTGAGAATGAAGTGTATTGAATAGCGCGCACGTCACCAAGTTCGCTGGCCAAACTTCGTCGTTCAGGTCAGGTCAGGGCGAGCAAGGGAGATGGTGGCGGAGAGTACTCATTGAAGGTGGATCAACCAGGAACCGACGACTGATGCCGCCAACCGAGAATCCGATTAGTTGGGTTGACATCACGACCATCCATTGGTCTTGAGTTGATTGGGGGTAGGATTAGGAAAATGGAAGACAGAGGACTCACATCCGAAATTATATGATTGGTGGTAGTAAACACGTTGAACGGCAACAATATCGGTCTGGAGGTCGTTCGTTGCGCTGGCACTATAAACATGGTGGGTGTACGTACCGCGTAAGCTGTTTAAACTTTGCATTTAACCAACGGGAATTCAGCTGTGAGAAAAATCGACTGCGTACCTGAACCCGACCCAACGCTAAAAGTTTGTAACACCTGAAGTGAGCTTTGAGATGGGAGTATAAATAGTGCGGACTAACGTCGCCATGATGGTAACGAGCACCTTACACTCAATCATAAGCCCATGGAAGGAGAAATCGCAGGAAAATTCGCGTACGTGTTCCTTGATAGAAAACGGGCCTGGGTTGAGTTCCAACCCAAAGATCGAGATGTTTGGGACGAATCTCGCCCATGCCCTGCCAATCGGAAAAGCGAGGAGCTGTGCTACAATCTGGGATCCCAGGGTAGACCTTAGATATCGAAGGGAATAGAAAGATGGGGAGCTCACACTAGTAATTTCGACCGAGGGGTAACGGAAATAAAAGAACTGGTTCAATCCCTGATCCGCCATGAGTGAGCGTGAGGCGAATCGCAGAAGGAAGGGTCTGCATACGCTGATAAGAATGGCCCATACAATTCCTATCGCCGCAGGTCGTCATCGTTGTTTCACGAACGTGAGAGTACTTGAATAACACACCCATGACCCAAGAACGTATGGTTGACACTGGGATGGTCGTATCATCAGTATTCGCCACAGCCGATCGGACTTCCGGGTAAGGAGAGTCATCTTCAAGCAGACCAAGGATTGCGTTCGTCTTGTCGATGTTGGGGTCGTCGAATTCGGAGAGTGGAATGGGTCCATCAAGGTGCACCTTATCTGAAGTGGGATGAACAGCTTCGCCAACGTATGAAGAGGTTGGAAGACGAACCAGAATCTTTCCCTTGATCGTCCTTTTCTCCGCTCTCAGTTCTCTCAGTCGAGGGTGTCGCAAGGTCCGTCTGGGCCGACATCTTGTGAGGGTGGGCGATAGAAAGGTGGGGAATGGCAAAAGCGGACTAAGACGTATTTAAAGCTTTTCAGCTATCAATCAAACATCCATGTCGATAGCTTCTCCGGGGCCAAGCACATGTACCGGCTCAGCCGAAAGGGGAATGGGGTATCTTGTTCAGTTAATATTCGTTTGTGCATGTGCTCCGGAGGTGATAAGCTCGCTTTAGAACTCCATTGCATCAATCTAAAATGAATCTCGAGCTTGGTGGTGCTGAAGGAGATTGACAAGTATTAGCAGATGATGGATGGTATTGCAATGCTAGGATACAAGTCAGCGTACAATTATGGTGCGATGTGGAAGGAGGATTCGGATCCTACCTACCAAGGGAATGGATATCCGACTTGAAGTTGTGGCATAAAAATAGGCGGGCTGGCGACATTTGATTCGGTAGATCCACCCAACGTGAATGGTCAGCCGTCGCCGTTGCTGAACAAACGGTCTTCGCTAAGGCTTACAACACAGTGGGGGACGATATATATGCGTAACCCTACATGGACATTGTAAGCTCATCTTGAAAGTGATATGTTGTGAGCATGAGAACTGAGATCTTTAGAGATTCCGCCACCACTCAAACATGCGCTTTTCAGTAAGCAATCCACAGAATTGACGAAAAGAAGAGATGTCGTACAGGAAGGGTTTTCGAGGAAACCGTTGTGGTTTCCGAGGAAGAAGCCAACGTCGACGGCGCGGCGACGGTGACCGGAACAAAGTTTTTAGTCACGTGCGATTCCCTACAGAACTGAGACAAGCAAGGTATGACTGAACAAAAAATGCCACAAAGCGCATCTCACCATGTCCGACATTATTTCCTCATCGTCCGTATATCCACCGCAAGGGGAAACCCCCTCCAAACCCCAACTTCACTCCGAGTCAGGTATCAAACCTCGGGACAGTGAACCCGAAAAGGATAACCAGAAGTCTCTACTGAGCTCCAAGCCAGATAAAGATTGGACCAGGGATAAACCCCGCCCCACACGCCGTGCGTATTAACATTTTCCGCTACCTACCACTTCAATCATCTATTAACACTCTGGCACCCAGCCATCACCGTCATATTCTTCGAATGGCTCGGCCGCCTCCTCCTCGCCACCCTCTGCCTCTTAACCTCCTTCCTGTCCCTCTGGTTCGCGTGCAAGATGTTCAAAGCAAGTGACAACATATCCATCTGGACGGCGGATTACAAAAGTCCCCCTTTACCTCCTGGTGCCCCCCTCTTGGATGTTTTTGTCGCATGGCCTGAACCCATGATAGAATGCGGAGTCAAGTTGTTTTTGGTGGTTGTTTGCTCACCGATAGTTATTGTTTGGGAGCTCGTTATTATGGTGTTGTTTTTCTCTGCGGCGATTGGTGTTTTGTCGGGGATGCCATTATGGTGAAGAACGAGGGCCCAGTGACATAATAGTGCATAACGTGACGTCATCAATCAATGTGAACCGTAGAAATGATCAAAATCCTTATTGCGTCTTACCATGTCCGACCCAGCGCTCACACCCCTGCCAACTTCACCACATGAAGGCGTCTCGCCTAAATCTCCATTGGATTTTGCACCAGATATCAAAGCGACTTCGGACGGTGAATGTGACCAGGAGAACGAAAAGTCTGATGTGAGACTCGCCGAGAAATAAAGGGAAAGGGATGGGATCGAGGAGCAGAACAAACGCCGGCGTGCACGCGGTACGCATTACCCTTCCGAATGCTTATTCCATGCCTGAGATTAACCCCTCGCCATTCTTATGTAGTAGCCTGGTTCGTAAGCAAAACCCTCGAATGGATCCGCCGCACTCTCCTTGCTATCCTCTGCCTCCTCCTCTCCCTCTGGTTCGCCTGTCTATTCATACAAAGCGGTAAAAAAATGTGGGAAGCGGATTTCAACGATGGACCCCCGCTACCTCCTGACGCCTCGGCTCTTGAAGTTTTCGTGGGTTGGCCGTTACCTTTCTTCGCATCGGCTGTAAAGCTGCTTACAGTGGGTATTTGCATGCCAATGATATTTCTGATGTTTGTTGGGTGTATGTTGGCGCTTTTGGTCTTGGCTTTTCTGGTGATGGTGGGGAAGGCGCCTTGAGGCGGGTTGAGGGAGATGAGTGAGGTTACTAGAGATTGATGGCTTAACTTGATAATTGACTTTGAATGCGGCTGCAGTTTACTGCTGGGAGTTGAGTTTCTTCCGACTTGATAATTACGGTGGTAAGCGAAGGTTTGAAATCGGGAAAAATTTGACCTCACCTGCCAATACTGTGCTCACTGTGAATAACACTCGGGATTTCTTTCTTTGTAATTAGGTCTATCCTTGATGGTTTATTGGCTCCGTCGACACACGCGCCGCAAATCAAGCAATCTAAATTTGCAAGCTCCACGTGCGAAAGCTCCCTGACAAGGATTGTACTCGAGTACGTTGTGAAGGTTTTCCTTGGTAAAGTGATGAAGGTATGTCCGGTAACATTTCAGACTATACCGCCTGCTCCTACGTCAGTCATCGCACTCGTAGTGCTTGAGAATTCAGAGTTACTGTACATATGAACCTCCGGCTTTTTCCTAACTGGTGGAAAGTGCGTTTATAAATTTTCTTGAGGCCTATCCACGCGGCTACATGATTTTGTTTGACCCCTGAGAAGACCAGAATTTTGACAAGGAGACTGGTCGAAGGTCCAAATTTTAAAGACGGCACGCGGGACGAATGTGCATTTACAACGTTCTTGTGCCTACGATATTGAACGTCTTTGTTAGTCTACTGGCTCGAGAACTTTCCATGTTCGACAAAATTCTCGACGCGCGAAAGCTGGGTTCAATTCCCAAACAAAGATTCCACGTCGAAAAATGCCCATTTTTCTGGCGTTCGTGGAAAGTGTGATTGTATTTTTTTTTAAAGCCTATCCGCGCGGCTTGTATATAACTTGGTTTGCCTCGAAGAGCTCATTATGGCCGGGGGACTTGTAAATAAAATAAAAATTGGAGTAATATTCCCTTCTGATAGTATCTATATATCTATGTATCTCTCCCACTGACGCAAGGCCGCGGCTTATCTTAAAAGAGGCTTGGGGATAAGGAGGTAGTGCTGTGACGTCGGAAATGGTTTTGAGCCGATAGATAAGGTGGTTATAGGCGCTAGTTGAGTGAATTCACGACTAAGCAAACTGGGGGAATGGCGAAAGCTCCAATGATGATTTTGTTGATCCGCCGACGTGATGCAGCTTCGGAACGCGTCGGACGCAGCCGTAACGATTACGGGACCTTATCGAGTTTGACAACGATCCACGTTCATGCTACTAGTCATATAAAATACCCCTACCACTTGGCCGATACATCACATCCTACCCTCCACTTCTCCTACACGCCAACAGCATGGAAGCGCTCATCCCAGAGATTAAAGAAATTTCGGACTATGTGAGCGCTACGCAACTAGTTACGGTCAGTTGAATTCGATTTCCGCGCGCTCGTCAACTGAGCTGATGATTATTCCTGATTGTCCATAGTATTCTGACGGTCGGTTTTTTGGAAGTCGGCAATGAACCGGACCTACTTAATGTTGGATGCCACAGTTGCTGGAGCAACGATGTTTGTCTACGACTACTTCTTAACACTTGGAATGGAGGTGGACTTGGTGTGGTCGTCAAATTGGAGCCTCATGAACGTTTTGTTTATCGCTCAGCGATATCTCCCATTCTTGGATGCGGCCGTGTTGTGTTTTCTCCGTATGTGAGAGATTTTGAACTCGTGATAACATCCTTACCTTTGGCCTTTCCAGCACAATTTTCGACGACGATAGCTCCGTCCCATTGTAGGATACTTGGGATTATTAGGGGCTGTAAGCGTTTTGTATTTTTGATTTTAAAAAACATACAAGACGTTACTAACATGCTGTCCTCCAGTGTTGATGGTTACTGGAATCGGTTTGTCAGAATGTCTGTCGCGCCATTTACTCCCGAATATATAAACTTAGATGAACCTACTATCAGTAATTCTGACGCTGCGCGCGTGGGCGGTTTGGGATCGGAATGGACGATTAGGAGCGGCGCTATCTGTTTTCTTCTGTGCTACGGTTGCTGCTAGTTTCGTAGTCATGACTATTTTCCTACTCGGCCTAGAATGTGAGTCGCTAGCTGATATTTTTGCATTCTCATCATAAATTAACTTCGCTTTCTTCAGTCAGCAACAAGCCCTATCCCTCTTTTCAAGGGTGTTTTATCACAAGCTCAAACCAGTTGGTATACATAAATTGGGTGATTTTGATGATATACGAAGCGGGTAAAGGCAAACAACTTTGAAGCATTCAAATTATGAAACCCACTCTTCCAGTTCTCTTGATGCTGATGCTCATTCGCGGTATTGCTGCTTGTTCGTTCCCATTTTCCTGCAAAATTCACTTGTAATCTAATCCATGGTTAGATCGATGGGGAGGGCGTAGTGCGCTTCATCGTGTTGTTTATGGCGAAGGTGAGCTCAAACCCATTTCTTCTTGAGTCAAGTTTATTCAGACGACTACTTAGGCATTGCATTCTACATCTGTATCTTCGGTATAGTAAAAATCAATGTCCTATTGCAACCATCTTTAACCCCCTTTTTTAAAAGTCTTATCTACCCTGAACGTAGTTGTTCTTAATACTCTTTCGGTTCGTCGTCTCGTGAATATCAGAATGAAAAAAAAAAAGCTTGGTTGATCGTATAGGCGAATTACTTGGATTTTCTATCCTCGTGTGTCTCCTCTCTCTCTCGTTCGTGCTACAAAAAATTCTCACTGCACGTGTTGAACAACAGTGTAGAGCGATGCCTTCATTCCATATTGACGAGTAGGGTGCTCCTTCACATTCGTGTTTGTATTCGGAGAAATGTGGAATTCCCAGCCTGGTCTGGCGACATGACAAAAATCGAAACCCGAATTCGGTTCGCGGATGGAGACCGAGGGAGCGGGAATAATGGAGTTGTAGGTAGATGTTGAACACGCAAAGGGTGATCCTCTGTAAAAACGAAGAGCAATGCCAAACCTGGGTGCTTTTGAAGAATATAAGTGCGTCCAGAGGGCTCTGGTACTGTCCAGAGCACGACGATGTTGAATGGGAGTGCCGGTTTCAAACCTCTCGCGAAATATTCAGCAAATATTGAGTACACTTGAGGACCGATCACATACTGTGTGCCGTCAATTCTTATACAATTTGAATTTCGAAGCACATTCTAAGATATGATTTTCGATGCTTTTGCTTCATTTTACTCCACATATTTTTTTGTGCAGGTTACGGTTAATTTCGAATGTCAACGGCGATGGACATCTGGGTGGGGGTCGCTCAAAACCAGAAATTATCTGCACTTGGGTCCCTTATGACCACGTGCATGACGTCGCCTTCCAAATCGGGAATCTTTGGGGAAGTCGGAGCTAGCGGCGCTGAGTCTCTCATGTCATTTTCTCTGCCATGAGCAGTCGCAGCCACACCCGTCGTTCCTCGTCCCGCACAACCTCAAGATCACACAGACTGCCATCCACACTGCGCAAACAAACCGCACCGACGACTACGAGTGTCTCCATCGTGTTTGCCGAACCGGAACAAGGGAGTCCGCTGGCTAGTGCGTTGACGAAGCTTCCTATAGCTAGGGCTCCTGAGATGGAGATGGGGCAGGGGATAACGATTGCGGATATGGATGGGAAGGATGTGGATGTGTTTGGGGGTACGTTGTGTTTCTGATTATCTGGGGTGGCTGACGTAGGTGTGTGTAGACAGATACTCTTTCTCGCAGGAGGAGGATATGTCGACTGATGCTACGCCTTCTACGGCCACTAGCACACCGTTATTTGATGCCGTCGCCGATGACGTCGTGCCCTTCCCTTCATTACCACCCATTAGCCAAGACAATGCGTATACTCCGCCCGCCACTCCGCCCTCTGAGACTGCCCAGGCCGTCTCAGAATCATCCACTCCTCCGCCTCCGCCGGTAACGTCTTCACCACGCTCAAATTCAACATCTACATCCCCACCACCGCCAACCTCGTGGTTTTCCAGCTTCTCACGTGCCAAAGGCAGACACGCAAGCGCGAGCGCGAACGTGGTCTCCCCAACCCAATCAGGCGATCCATCCAAGCGCACACCGTCGTTGGCCCCTATTGATTCACGAACGTTACCAGACGTACCTACGGACTCATTACAGCCACCACCCATACCCATACCCATCTCTGTACCACCACTCTCTGAGCTCCCGCCTGCACTTTGTAGGGAGGCATCGACGTTGCAAGCTCTTCTTTCGGATACTACTACTGCTACACAAGGGAAAGTGGAGCTGGGGTCGGAGTCGTTGAATGACCTTGATCACCCGGTATCGTCATCCCCTCAGGTTCAATCACAATCACAATCTCAACCTCAAGGTCAAGAACAAGAACAAGTACAAGGACGTCCGTCGTTGGATGATCGTACATCATCGATAGACGACCAGGTTCCTTCGTTGCCGAGCACACCAATCTACAATTCTCCCGCCCCGTCCCCTGCGCGTGCACGTGCGTCGGTGGTTCAACCGATGGGGAATCCCACGTCGACGAGGTTTGCGATGCTTTTTGGTAGGGGTGGGGCTGGTGTTCCGAGGGGAGGTGAGAAGGGATCTGGAGGTATGTGTTGGATTTATGTCCACGTTGGGGGGTGCTGATGACGCGTCGTTTGGTAGGTCCGATGACGAGCGCTGGAGAGGTTTCGGGTCAAGGTAGAACTGGTTTTTTTTGTTTATTCTGTGAGCAGAAGCTTGACTTGATTGATAGATCCAATGTCGGGCAGTGCGATTGTTCAAAGTGAAGGTGTGTGCTTAACATTGTTCTTCTCTTGTGGGTACTGATAATTCATGTGTGATAGAATCAAAGCCGATCGATGCGGTTATTCCCAGTCGAGGTGCGTGTCAAGAAACAGCTGACGACCTTGTTCCGTCGTCCCTCTTTTCTTTTTTGGGTTACTGAGAGTCTGTGTTTGTTTGACAGATTTGGATTCGTCTCCGATAAGTGCGGTTGGTCAGAGTGGGGGTGGGTTTACGCGTCTTCTGTTTCTTTTCGTGTTGGATGTATTGATGGTTCGTTTGTTAGATTCTGCGGTTGTTCACAGTGAAGTCGGAGGTAAGTGTTATTTTTGTGAGGCGACCTGGCTGGATGTTATTATTTCTCGGCTGTGGAAGTCTTTTTATCCGTTGAACGCTCTGAAGCGTTCTTTTCATGCATTTATCTTCATCATTCCTTCATCCGTCGCATAATGACTTGCGATTTTTTTTTTTGCAGATTCAACGAAGACTACTGCTTTTGATCCAAGTGAAGGTGCGTCATTATTTGTTTCTCGTTGTGGCTACCTTCGCTTGTTGCCTCTGATCTTACCTGGATGGGCACTGATGACTTGTTGAACAGATTCGACGCTGGCAGTTGCGGTTGTTTTTACTCAAGGTATTTGACTTTTTATTTTGAGTTTGTTAGCGGGGGGTGGGGTCGTTCAGCTCGATATTTTGATCTCTCTTCTTTTTTCTTTGCGATTCAATGTGTGGATCGCTCTCTTTTTTTCGTGGGGGTGTCCTCTCACGTTTCTGGATCTTTATTGGTTTCCTGGGGTATTTCTTTTGGTTCCGTTTGGCTTCGCAGCTACCTGTTCTATTCTTCTTTATAACCTTCTCAAGTGTCTGTATGTATGGCATACTAACCCCCACATCGTGTCTAGAGCCCAACTCAACGACAGAAACGAACTCTTTAGTTGGAGAGTCCAATTCATCTGGCGATGACGTGCCGCCGGCAACGGCCGACGCTTCCTCACAACCGGTGACAACACCGGCCGATGCTCTTTCAGAGTCACAGCCAACTACATCAAACGCAGCAGAACCTCCGCAGCAAACGTCGTCTTGGTGGGGATACCTGGGCTGGTCGTCGACTCCCGCGATGACAAACGATGCCTCTTCCTCTTTGTCACCCCCTGTTATAGAACCCCCGCAGAGCTCAACGCCACTTGAAACGATTCCAACTGTTGCCAACGACACTCCCCACCCTTCAGAACAGGCTATGAATGTGGAGCCTCCCCAGGATACCACTAGTCCTGGGGATGTTGCGCCTGACTCTTCGGAGAGGGCTATGGATGTGGATACACAACCAGTTAGTGACAACGGTGTTGTTGCTGGGGATAGCGCCCCAGCCCCGAGCGGTGGCTCAGCGTGGTACTCACCTTGGTCTTGGTATTCCTCCGCCCCCACTACTACTGCCACTTCACAGATGGATGGTTTGGGTGTGGAAGAGACGTCACTCATGGCTGAGGACTCCTCAGCGGCCATCGAGGTCGATGTCCCTCACGCGCCCGAAGGCCAAGCCGTTGAGGCAAACTCAGCCCCGACAGCCTCAGAGACCACCATCGAAATCCCCACGTCTACCTCAGATCATCCACCCGAGACCAATCCCATTGAAGCGACGATTACCACTCACCGTTCAGGGTGGGCAAGCTTCTTCAGTTCGCGGGCTGGAGGCGTCAAGAGGATTGAGTATGGTGGCGTTAAGAGGGATGAGCATGGAGCGGAGGTTATGGAGATTGACGTAGATGAGGTTGAGGGGGAGGAGAAGAGGGAGACGGGGGAGGGTGAGAAGGTGGTTGAGGGACAAGTCAAGGGGGTCCTTTCCATGACGACGACATCGGAAGTGACGATCAATGCAAAGTCGACTCCGAAATCCACGCCTGCGGCGTCGAAGCCTGCTTCGGGGACCAACACGCCGATCCTACCATCCAGTCCCTCCTCGGCCTCTCCGTTGACAGCAGTGAAGAATGGGATGCCGGCTGAGAAACCCATGGCGGCGGCTGTGAAGCTCAAGCGGACCGCTTCCCCAACGCCGTCAGTTAAGAAGTCGAACGCTACACCTCCACCTCCCAACCTCATCCTTCCAACATGGGGCGACACCTTCCATACGGCACCTCGGAACGTCGTACCCCCACCCCCTCCTCCATCACACGCTAGGGGGGACAACGCTTCGGTGGGAGGCAAGTTGCTTGGGAAGACGATCAAGTTCGTTAGTGGGGTTTTATTCGCTAACGACGCTCCTGTGATGTCGGCCAAGGGGAAGGAACGGGAACGGGAGAATGTTGAGAGTCTGTTGGAGAAGGAGAGGAGGGAGAAGTTTGTGGGGATTGGGAGGGAGTTGCCTAAGGCTTGGGGGGTGTTGAGGGCTGCTGGGTGGGACGTTGATCCAGGGATGGGGGCTGCTTCTTCGGCAGGTAGAGAGAGTTTGGGGGGTGATGTGGACGGAGGTTTGGATATGTCGGATGTGTTGAGGGGGTGTAAGCGTGTTGTTGTGATTGGAGTGCACGGCTGGTTTCCTGGTTAGTTCACTTTCTTTCCTTTTGATCTTTGGAGTGTTCTGATTGGGTGATGTAGGTACTATTATGCGAACTGTCATCGGCGAGGTCAGTACAATGAGTCTTGCTCTTTCTGTCGCCGTTGTTCCCCGATGTTGAGCTGACCCTCGTTTTTCACACAGCCTACAGGAACGAGCCCTAAATTTGTGAACATGACTGTTCAAGCGCTTCAAGATTTCGAGGACACGCATGGGGTGAAGCTCGAGAAGATCACAAAGGTGCCACTCGAGGGTGATGGGACGATCGACTATCGCGTTGATAAGTGAGTTGATATCCGTTTGTGGGAGTTACTCGGGGCTCATGTGATCTTATCTTCTCCCGTGCAGGCTATACACCAACCTCAAGGCGAACGAGGAATGGATGGCCGATCTTCACGCTGCGGATGCCATTTTCATCTCGACACATTCTCAGGGCTGCGTGGTGTCAACGCATCTGTTGGACAGGCTTATACGAGATAAGCATATCCGGCCGCCGAGAGATTCAGTTTGTGTTACTGGGGCAGACTCTTTTCCTTCCTCCGTTGGGATTGATCTGCCACCTGACATGAAGCCCCAGCGGATATGCTGCCTTGCGCTTTGTGGCATTCATCATGGCCCTTTGAGGTACTTGGGCAGCAGTACGCTTGTTCAGCCCTATATCCAGGTATGCTCCAGTATCAATCACAGTTTTTTGGATATCTTATGGCTTCTTTTTCGTTAGTACTTCGAATCGTTAGCGGCGCGTGAACTCTTCGAGTTCCAGGTACGTTCAGGTTTCTAGTCTTGGCGTTGATCACACGACTTATAACGATCTGGAGCTCAGAACACCGAAAGTGCGGTCTCGAAGGCCTATATTCATGCCTTGAAGAATGTGCTTGATCATGGGGTACGTTTTTCTATTTTTTTCTTCTTCGTCACGTCGTTCACCTGTCTACATTCCTGATGATGATCTGTTAGGTAAAGATCCTCTACGTGGCTTCCCTGAACGATCAAGTCGTGCCAATCTACTCAGGTTTGTTCACGGCGGTGACTCACCCATTGATCTTACGGGCTCTATACATCGACGGAGTTGCATATCAGTTAGTCGACCATCCATTTCCAATTCTGATTCACCCGGTTAGTTAACATGCCCCCGTCCTCCCTTATTTAATATATTTAGCTCCTCCGATTTTCTTTCGAATCTTCTTGTGCTTCTTCTTCGCATCCGGAATTCGGGGCTTTCTGATAGTGGCCTTCTTGCACATTTGTCGGAGGCCACGGCTGGGTCCTTGAATGGTGTTGGACATTCAACTGCGTATGAAGATGTTGCGACGTATTCGTGAGTATTTTTTATATCGGATATGAATGGCGATCATTACCCTTTTTTCATTTTTTAGGCTTGCTGTCAAGTATCTGTTCTTGGCGAACGACGGGACGGATGGACGATCTCAGCTTGACGTTGAGCCTTTCAATGCGAGTCATGAACAGAACGATTACGAGGTAAGCCGGCCGAATATCATCCAATCCCAACGGATTGTTCATTAGTTGCATGACACAGATTCCCTGGGCGCTGCGGGAGATAATTGCGGATGAGCGCGTCGTCCATCTATTCTCCAAGGAGATAACTGAATTGCGAGACGCATTTCGGGAATGGCATCCTAAAACGAGCATTTTACGCGATTTGAAGCGGAAACTTCAACCTATCCAGAAGCTTCCCTCGACGTTTTCATCTCTTGGTTCTGTGAGCAAGCTGTAATCTTTTATATAGACATCATTTTCCATATACACGCGTTTATTCCACTATTCCATACTCATTTACAACGAAATTTGCATTTAACTACAATCACAACAGTGACTCACCACCTAACACATTTTCGACATGGCTTGACTACGAGGGTTTGGGATATACCAGCAAAGTTTATATATCCTTATCGTACGGGGTGGGGGAAATTGGGTCCGGACTGCTTACAATACGAGGCTTTACCATGGCAATCCAGGCAAAGTCGAGGCACTTCAGCTGGCAAAGGGAGGTGCTACTCGTTACTACTTAACTCATGCACATATTGCCTCAAGTGATACTATCAAAAAGTGGACAAGTCGCGCGCTATCAGTTTTCAACAACATTGCGATTCTTGGACTTTGCTTCTGACTAACATAAAATAAAATATTAGAATCAAACCGCTCATATTTAGGGCTTCTAGCTAACAAGGACCGCTTTATTTAACACGCGTCCGTTCCAGGTATCCAAGTGTTGAAACGGGTGATATCACATGGTGCAAAAAGGAGTCGCTGCGCATACGCAGAATACATAGATAGACGAACGTTGCGCGCTGGTAACCCAAAGGGACACATCTGAGAAAATGCACAGAGAGGCTCTGTGTCTTTGATGTGGCGTTTCAGCGTAAGATTGCCGGATATATAGGATTTGCTTCCGTATTTGATAACGAATGGCAATCAAACGTTGGTGTTGACGACTCCAGTTGAACCCACTCGTGTAAATCCTGCAATCTTGTGGGCGTAGAGAGAAAGCACAGGGGACTCATTAGTGCCACTTCGGAGCCTCTAAAATCTTCTAAATGTCGTCCCTTCTCCTGATCAACTCGTGGATAATGCAAGGGCCGATCACGGAGATAAGCTTTCGCCTGCAGAGTTGTTTGACGCCCATATCTGATATCTACAGACCTTACATATGAACGGAATTAAATTCATGAACGGTTCTGCCATAAATAAAGCATATTCTCTTGGCTGCCAAGTTGCCAACACCATGCATACTCCCTTCCTTCTCAGACTCCTTAGTAGAGCTTTTCCCGTTTAGTCGGAGAAGTATTAATAACCGCTAGTAGATGAGGTACGGAGTTAAGAGATACTAGCTAGCGCCTCGAGCTCACCCCCCAGAAATGTCATCGGGAAGCACGGGTGAGTCCGACGGGTGTGCCTGATTGCGAAATGCTCACCGGAAACCTATTATGTTTGACATTGTCTGTCCATTGATCAGCCGCCATCGCACTTCAGCTGAATGTTCCATTCTTCGCCAAATACTTCCCCGGCGACTCTGAGAATAATAGGATTTCGATTGAATACGCCCAACATTTTGTTGAAGCAAGGATGTTGAACAGCAGGCTCTACACAGATCTGAAGCTTGTGATACTCAAAATGAGCTCATTACATTCATTCAAGACCAACAGGAGTTTGCGATCGCACGGTTACTGGGAAACTTGCCGGACTTCTATGGAACGGCGATAGGCAACCTTTAGGTGACCAGGTAACCGTCTCCCGTGTTCAGAATTTCAGACAGCCGCCATCCCAACGCCCCTTCAGATTTGTAGATAATGGGGTGCTTCACGGGAGAGTCTGATGAGTAGTTGTAGTTGAATCGTGATTCGCGACAATAAGGCGAAGTTTGATCCCGAGTTTCCGGACAGCTAGCGGGTACAAGAAAATAGCCCGGGTTTGAATCCGGCATTTCTTCTTTTGGCATTAGAATTGAGTCCATTCTTATACAAAACTATAAAGCGCCGTTGTGTATGCAATGTCATCTAACCGAAGCCTTCATCTTCCACCCCCATTTATTTGATACCTCATGCCAGCACCAGAAGTTGTTTCGTACAAGGTCGATAATCGTCCAGCTCTTGGACATGTGTTCGTATGCCGTCTCCAGCCTCCAGGCCGGTATATTTACGCGTCCTTGCGACAGGAACTTAATGATCGACACTTTTATTGCAAACGCGACCGTCGACGAGTAAGCAATCCCACCCACGACTTCCGCGAGATGTGATAATTCTATACCAGTCTGCGATCTATCGTGAGGCATTTGCTCGCAGCAGGACCGCCAGGCGTTGCCCCGGCGTTTGCAAATGCTGCGCGTTCTCGACTGCGACACACCAATACCAAAGCGCTCCCCAACTCCTATTCCCTTTTCCGTCGACAATCGCACAATGTGAAATTTACGGCGCCAACGGAGCTACTTCACGACACTTTGGCTAACGTTCGGTCCTTGTATGGGGCGGGAATGGGATTTCGCAGTTTGGCAATTCTAGCTACAATTGTGAGGGCAACCGTGGGTCTCCGATGGGAGGAGGAAGGCGACATGGCGGATATCCTTGCCGTGATTGACGTTGACATAGGGCAAGCGATTCAAGTGAGTATTCATTTCCTTTTTTTTGCGGAAGACGCGGTCTGATTGGTGTAATTCTCCCAGAGTTCGAAAGAAGAGGTGGAGGGAGGCCGTCTTCACGACTTTGCGTCAGCACGGGAAATTGTCCACGACTTACGATCCGCCATCAACGATAGTCTGGCGGACGTTCAAACTTGGGGGGGAGAATTTCCGTTCGACCGAGCGTCAGCTAGCCTACAATATTGGAAACTATAATGGTGGTAAACACAAGCATCTGTAGATAATAATGATAATGACAAGGACACCCGGCCGATCTTTTGCGAAAATGTGACATGAGTGTCAAGAGGCGTCGGTTTTTCTTTATTGTGAAAGCCATGTCGAGTTCCTGTTGTGGGCGGTACGGAGTGGATGTAGTAATTCCTACGTTCAAAGAAGTTGAACGCGGTCGGAGGATAGCGTCATTCCACAATTTTTTTCTCCATACGACTGCCGCTTTTCAAAATGAGGTTAACAATAGCACCATACTTATTCACCCTTCCTTTTCTACATTAAATTCCATCGTTGGTGGTGTTTGTAGCTCGGCTCATCATTATTGTTCGGTGTTGGCGTAGTGTTTTCGTTTGATGCGCTCCATTCTTCAGCAAGGAACAATAAGTAAAACTTGAATACCATGTCTGTAAATTTGCGGTAAATGGAGACTCGCTACTTATAGTAGTTATGAACACGGAACGGCAAATTGACGGCAAACAGATTCTTTTATCTGACAGTGATCGCGGATCATTGCGATTCGGAGGTGATACATCGTAGCCAATCATTCACCTCAGTTTTCCTGGTTCTACCTGCTTCATTTCATCTTCTTCCGGACCATGTCGTTTACCTAGCTCCTCGACTTGTATCACCTGCACACGGTGTGCCTCTCGCTAACCAAATTCGATCGCAATCCGAATGTCCCATATATATATATATATGTCTGTGGAATGGCGAACTACTAGGTTGCCATAAGTTTCTTGTCCTTTATGCCTGAATGGGACTCCTCTGAATTGTCCCCATGGTAGATGGGAGGTTGAATAATGCGCCAAGGCGGTCGCAATGGGCGAAGAACAGGTATGTTCGCAGACATCAAACCCCAGGCGAGGATGGTCCCTCAATCTCTTCCCACTCTTCATCCTCCAGATTCTCATCAGTCGACCCTCCAACCATAACAAGCCTAGCACGGATCGCCCACCGTTCCCTGAGCACAATAACGCCGCGGATCAAACAGAATATTATAATCTCCCCAACCGCGATGCCTACGATATATGCTGCGACTTTTCCGTGTTGCTTTTGCGGGTCTAAGAACGAGTACGCTGAAATGCGACATTTTAGAATGCGTGGGAGGAGGGGGGGGAGGGACAAACAGTAAAAGCCCTGGGTTGCATGCGTAATATATGCGATACCAAGATATCCTGCGAGGAAAAATAGACCAAATGGCAGAGTTAACCATGGGGCTGGCGGGGAGTTCGTAAGGAGAATCTCGAACAGGGCGAAAACGGTGTTGAGAGCGTGAACGGATATTACGTCCCAAGCTGTAGGTGAAGTGAGAAAAATGACTGCAATATAAAGAGAAGGGCCGAACATGAGTACACTGTTTCAAAAGTAGATGGGCTTGAGAGTAACGCCCAAAAAACAATGGTCACCAAAATAGCTAGATGGATGGAGAAGATGAGCGATGAAAAGCAGAAGGAGGAATAAAGGCGTACGAAACGTCACAACTGTTGATTGCAGCACCACGTGCATGCAGCGAAGAACACCTGGCTGACGCTGAAGCAGATATCCCACCCCTGCCCCGGCTTTCCTCCACCGACGATAATAAGAGAAGGTTTGAATCCCAGAGGCCCAGAAATATGCACATATCCCGATGTACGAAAGATGGGTGAAATAGGAGAAATAACTGTTGGTCACCGTAAGTTTCTCTGTAGCTTGTGGAAAGGAATCATATAGTTAAGCTTAAGGATGAACCTCAAGCCCCGCCTCGAAAAGTTAAGGGAGGGGGCGCAATATTGCTGAACGAAAATGGGGAGAACTCGGATGGATCGATTGAAGAAGGACAAAATAATGATACGTACCTGTCTGCGGTTCCCAACTTCGTTCCTTCCCATGCCAATGAAAATATAAGAGCAAATGTTGTGTAGAATGCGACGATCAACCGAAGGATTGCGAGTACGAATGGGGAGGAAATCACTGGCGAGGTGACGAGTTTGTGCGCAGGGTCGAACGGTGACGCGGCACCCAGGCTTCTGAGGAAATGGAATCGAGTCATATAGCGTCGCAATTGGCTAGCGAGGGTGGAAGAAGATGGTGTAGGTAAAGCAGTTGTGTGCAGCCTTATTGAGTGGCAGAGTTCGGAGCTTTATGGACGAAACGGCACGGCTAGCGCTAAGGGAGCGAAATGTGGAAAGAGTGGAGTTGTAACGAGCGACAGTGCCAAACGTCGATAAGACAAGAAGAGGGGCTATAACGGCAGAGGGACAGTAAGGAGGAAGAGGGTACAAGGCTGAATTGGGACGAAGTGCAAAGCGGGAGAAAAATGATTACAAGCTGCCTAAGCGAATGCTTCGTGCAGAGTGTTGGCAAGTGAGAATGGGGAAATTTCGAAAATGAGTGAGGTGGATGATGTGGCGGTCAGGGTCCCCTGTTGTCGGCTAAAGTGCGCCTACATTATGACATAACACAGTCTTCCTGCCCGTTGTCTGCACATGACGAGCAGATATGAAGAGCAGTTAGCCTGAGTATATGACGATAAAATTGAAATCCACACCAGTGCCATCGCTGATGCAAACGTTGAACGTTGAACGTTAACGTTGATGCATAGATCTGCACCGATTAGAACTGAACTGTTTGCTACCGTTGCAGCAACCGTAAGGAGACGATAGCTTTCCTCCAGCAACTACATACCATTATTATCGTGATCCCATCCCCATACCCCGACTTTACTGGCTTCACTGAGATGATGGAACAAGATTGGGAAGGTGTCCACCGTGCAGAACCCAAATTTCAACTGATCTCTACCGTTACGACCGTGGGAATATCTTGGCAGAAGCTTGATTCGCTCAGTCTGACTACGTTCGATCGTGCTACTAGCACCTTTGATCACGCATCCGTTTCTCGTGAGCACTGCCAGTGAGCAGTACGCCTGGCTCATCCACACGTGCCGTCTTGAAGCTCTAATCTGATATCCCTTGATACACTTATGTCTCAGAATCCAACGTTTTATCGGCGCTTGCTACTTTGGGTGACCAGGTCCAAGCGTCTCAAGTATATAAATTGAGTATGGGCCATTGGCGTCAAAGGCATACTGGGATGCTTTTTCTTCGCTTCATCTCGCTGTTCCACCTCGTTTTTCTCATTGATATCAGCGTCGCGCCCCTGGTTCAAGCAGGCCTCCCAACTCGAAACGACGGTATTCACCTCGCCGTACATCCACGCTGTGGACCTCTCTCCGGGAACACGACAAATGTCAATGGTGGTATCAGCCCTTGGACCCTTGAGACCATTGTTGCATTTGGGGTGAGTTTTCTTCTCAGAGACGTATGTTAGTATTTCCGACACCACCTCGGCGCTCCCTGATTAGGACAGCTACACCGATGGTGGGAAATCGGATGGATCGCCCCTTTCACCTGCAGTTGTGGTACCACCCAGTACATTGGCTGGGGGTCGGTCTACGAATGGCTTGACGTGGATAGAGGGTATCGCCAATGACTTTAGCGCAACTTTGAAGGATTATGCGGTAGGTTCCAACCTTACTCTATGTGTCGAGCCAAACAAATCTCATTCGGAATACCAAGCAATCGGGAGCATGCACGGACCTCTCATTATGGCCCAGTAATCCAAAGAAGGTCGATTTCCTGGGACAGAGTGAGCACGCAATTACGACCACTGATTTTCGTCTAATTCCGCACATGAAGTGGAGACTTTCCTGGGTCAATCCAATAACCTTGACCCTGAAACCACGCTCTACGCTATCTTCTTCGGCATCAAGTGAGGTTACGCATTCTCAGGAGAACCCATCTGATAATTTTGTCATAGCGACTACCTCGCATCCCTCAGTAAGTTCATTCCCGTTCCGAGAAAGGTTTCGCGCTTGATCGCCATTATTTCTACAAAATTAAGTCGACGGAGATCACATGCAAGCTGCAGCTCAAGTAATCCTCGACCAAATCAAAATACTTTCCAGCCCACCCACCAATGCTCGCTTATTCTTGGTCGCTGACGTCTACGGTCGCGGAACCTCTTCAGGCCCAGGAGAGGCTTACAAACAGGCCGTGATCAGTGGATTGAATGAATTACATGATCCTCCAATGAACTTGAAGGTTTCCTACGTCGATTTTTCAGCCATATGGTCTGGAGTTCTGGGTTCTAATCCAGGATACATAGCCTTTGGGTACACGAGCACAGATGCATGTAATGCGATGTGCGACGATCCAGAACACTATTTCTATTGGATTCCTGGGTACGTTAATTCGAAGTTATGTTTAGTACTTAGGGTTTAACCGGGATGCATTGCAGCCATCCTTCAAAAGAGACCATGAGAATCATGGCTGATTTTGTTGAAGAGGTGTGGTGGTTCTGTAGGGCGCCAGAGGAGCGTTAGGATCGTAGCCGAGGGGCGCCATGCGGCCCAGGATCGATCAAACCTGCATAAAAAATCTGTCGCCTCATGTAATAACGGAGCAAAGAAAATTCCGAGAATGTACTCCATTGTATCCAAACATTCCAGAAGTTCACTTATGATGCCTGTCGACAATGGCTTGCCCGACGTGAGTTGTAGTCAGAAGTTAAGGCACGCAGTATGATGAAACCGTGGTCGGTCGCCGCTCAGCCTTTACATGCACAATATCTACCTACTCCAAACCCGCTCTCTTCAGAGGGCCCGGGCTTCTACCCGTGAACAAAATTCGGGTTCCATTTGTTCTTCGTAATGCGGCCAGACCGGTCCGTAAGTTCCACATTTTTCATATAAAATCGAATGTGAAGGATCACCCTGCTTGTCAACATGGAATGTAGGCATCGCACAACACTGGTTGTTCAACGGGTGTGAGATTTTTTGTAGCGCGAATGATAAAGGGAGGAGAGACATACGAGGATAAAATATCCAAGTAGTTCACCTATGCTATCAATTTTAAAAGAATATTCTGAGATTCACAAGATGACGAACCGAAAGGGTATTGACAACAACCACGTTTATAGCTGATAAGACTAAAAAGGGGAGTTAGAGACAGCTTCAACAGTACATTGATTTTCACTTTACCAAAGATACAGATGTAGAATATAATGCCTAGTCATCTGAATAAATTTGACTGAAAAAGGAGTGGTTGAGACTCACCGTCGCGGTAAACAACGTGATGAAGTGCACTATGCCCTCCCGATCGATCTGACAATGTATTAGATTACAGGAATTTTGCAGGAGAATGGGAACGAACAAGCAGTAATACCGCGAATGAGCAATACCATCAAGAGAACTGGAATTGCAAAAATTAAGATTTACAAATTCTTCACGGTTGGTTACCCTTACCCGCATCATATACCATTAACAACACCCACTGGCAAGTTATGTAGACCAGCTTGTTTGAGCCTGTGATAAAACACCCTTGAAAAGAAGGATAGGGTCTGTCGCTGACTGAGGAATTCGAAGTTGAGAATGCGAAACGATGATGAACAGAGCTAGTAACTCACATTCTATGCCACGTAGGAAAATAGTCATGACCAGGAAGCCAGCAGCAGTCATAGAAAAAAAGAAAACCGATAGCGCCGCTCCTAATCGTCCATTCCGATTCCAAACCGCCCACGCGCGTAGCGTCAAAATTACTGATGGTAGACCCATTTTAAGTTAATAGAGTCGGAGTAAATGGCGAGACAGACATTCTGACAAGCCAATTCCCGTAAGTATCAACACTGAATGACAACACGTCAGTAACGCCTTGATGCATGTTCAAATTAAAAATACACGGCGCTTACAGCTCCTGATGATCACGATTATTTTACAATGGGACGGGTTTATCGTTGTCGAAAATTGTGCTGGAAAGGCCAAAGGTAAGAATATTATTGTGAGGTCAAAATCTCTCACATACGGACAAAACACAACGCGGCTGCATCCAAAAATGGGAGATATCGCTGAGCGATAAACAAAACGTTCATGAGGCTCCAGTTCGATGACCACACCAAGTCTACCTCCATTCCAAGCGTCAAGAAGTAGTCGTATAAGAACATCGTTGCTCCAGCGACTGTGCCATCCAACATTAAGTAAGTAGGTCCAGTTGATTGCTGACTTAAAACCCACCGTAAGAGCACTGTGGGCAATCAGAAATAATCATCAGCTCAATTGAGCAGCGAAAGTCTAATTCAACTTACCGAAACCCGTTGCGTAGCGCTCACATAGTCCGAAAATTGCTTGATCTCTGGGATGAGCGCTTCCATGATATTGCCCTGTTCAGCAGAGGTGGAGGACAAGATGTGATGTATTGGCGGAGTGCCAGTGGTGGGGGTATTTTATATGACTCCAACTCCGCAAACTCGAAATGAAATCAGGAAGCCTCGGAGAGGCTGGGCCCGACGCATTGTCCAAGCTAATTATTTCTAACCGCGAGGCCACTGACGCTTGACAGCTGTCCGAAACGAAACATTGTTGGCAGTTGGTTGGCAGGAGCATCTGGGGAACAAGGATTGATGTCATGAGGTACGCGGCGGATATCAGGCCGGCCATGGACCAGCTTCAGAAGAGCAGGCTTTCTTTTTGATGGGATCGAGTTATGTAGACATTCCAAGCTCCTAAAGTTCTTTGTGCTCTACAGAATTTACAGAATAAATAAGGATGGGACGAACTCAAGCGCCGCTCACTAGAAACAGATGCTAGTGTGGTACCATAAAAATCCTCTCCAACCTTGTCAAGTCGAATCCTCATCCCGGCTTAACACAGTGACACTTCGTCGTCGAAAGAACGAGGGAATGTCAACAAGGCCGTTGTATGATAACTATGCTGTTGTAAATGACAGCACTTCAAAATAGAGGGGAAGCATACCGTTCCGTACCTGAATAAATCCAATCAGTTTGGAGCTACTCTTCGATCAACAAAGAAACACTTACACCAAAAGCCCAAAACCAAGAACCTGTAAAACTGAAAAAGGCCACATCAGAACCTCCCAACCAAGTCCCAAACTGAGTATCCAGATGACCAACGTCCTGCATGAATCAGTAAGAGTGCGCACAGTCGCGCTTACGCGATGCGTAATCCCCATCCCACACACATCAAACACGGATACGCTGATTGCAATAGCCACGGCGGACCAAAGAACGAGCGGGTTATCGATTAACTGGTGCCATCCCCGAGAGACGTCAAAGTAGACGGATTTGACGGAGATGGAGGGGACAGAGAGGAGAGACATAATTGCCAGGACGGTTATGAATCCGAACGTTCCCTCGAGGCCTACGGCAAGCAGAGGTTCAACGTTGTACCGCGTCATGATCTTCTCTTCGACGATGAATTGAACCGCGGTGCTGGAGCATTGATCATAGTTAATGAAAGAACCAGGGAACGGTGATAAAGGCGTACAATATCTGCGCACACATTATGAAGAAAACACCTGAAGTGAAATGAGTTGGTGGAGTATATGACGGGAGCCTGGGGTTGATTACCGATTAGGACGTTCACTGTCTCAGCGGCTCCATGTGAAGTCTCTTTTGAGGTTTGCAATTCTACCAGGCGACCACTGAGACCCACGATGGTTACACCAAGAATGACGAGGGCAAGAGAAATCCACCTGGAATTTTGTTTTAGTATCTGCATAATTTGATGGTAGGCAACGCACTGATAAAGATACAAGCGACGGCGAAGAAACACCACGCTGAATATTCCGACGAAAAATACGAGCGCTCCTCGCGTCATCTGGAATATAGAAACAGGAGTGTACAGAAGGCCAACGTTCATCAACTAGAGGCGATAAACTTGGCGTCGTTCACATCATGAAGAATCTACGTACAGTAGCCCCAAAGATATCACAGGTGGCTGGAAGCCAGAAGAGGAAAAGTGGCCATCCTTCGAAGGCTTCCTTTTCGAGTTTGATATCGCGTACCGCTTCATTGAGAGGAAGCTGAACTGATCCGCGGGAAAAGTACTTTGAATAAAATATTGGTAGAAGACCTGGTAAGTTTTTTCATCGACAAAATCACTTTAAATAATCGATATACTGACACAGTGCCTCCCCCGCTAGGACAGGCTTGAGGTTCAGTATCGGGCAAAGAGAGTGGGACGAATGGGGTCCCACCAAACATGACCAGTGTCTGCCAGACGGGTTGTTCGTAATTAACATGATTGAGTGGGTCGGGGTCGTCGCAGTTCTCTACACATTGCATATCCTGAACTTGATCAACTCGAGAGGCTGGTGAGATGGAAACGAAGATACTACCTGATATTTGCAGAGGATTGACATGCCTGCACCCTATGAATTGCTAGAAGTATATGGGTACCAGTCCAAAGCAACTGAGAGAACTTACGACCGTAAGCATGCCAGTGATCAGCAGTGGGACATGAAGCGATGAGTGCATGATGTCGGAGGCGTTGTGCTGAGCAACAAATAGAGGCGACATGTTCGACCGACCGAATTAATTATATAACTGAGAGCATGCCATTTTCTCCAAGCAGATAACATTAGCTCCTTTCGGTGCGTGCCATAACGCAAAAAGACCAGATGGAGACGTATAAGGTGGTAGCTGGCAGTGTTTGAGTTTGATGATAACGGAGTCGTGGATGCGTGGGAACATTGATAATCATATAACCCCAGCCTCATGCACATGTTTTGCACTTCGCTTCTCCAAGTCCGAGGTTCTCGAAGACTACTTGCGACCTCATCTCCGGTTTCTCAGATAGAATAAGGCTGGACCCCACGGCTGTGCTCGAGCATCTACTCATCGATTTGGATCTAAATGCTGTGGGTGGGACGTTGCGCCATCCACCTCCATTTTGCCTCCATAAGACCTAGTGAAATCAACGGACCAATCAAAGTAAGGTAAAGCCCGATTCTAATGTCCTGCCCCAACAATTAAATTATCACTCAGAACCTTTTGAGACGTCCCAGCCGAGCACCCTTGAATGTCGCATCAAGATTCTAATCACACTCAGGAGAGAACCCATTTTAAATTCCCAAATGTGAAAGCGATAAATTGCTGGTATGTCCTTGCGATTTGTTTACGTCCATCATGTCATATACATCTCGTTAGAGACCGAATACTTCCTGAATCTCACTACAACAATGGCACTTCAACAACCCGCTCTCAGGCTATAAAGTTTACCCAAATTGCTGACGTTTCAGCAAAACGGGCACGAAAGACGCCGGGAAATTATTTTCCAAACACGACTCAAACTTTTGTCTTGGGCATTCTCAGCCTATCAATCACCCGTCTGGCGCTGTAGACGCCACGAGAAATATTAGTCTGGGGTTAGCGAGCTTATCGGATACCGTCTCGAATCCGACTAAACCAAGACGTTGTCGTCGTGCGGCACACTTGGGGCGTTTATGTGTCAAAAGTCGTTGAAAACTGTGATGGAAGGGGGATATCCCCTCGTATGCCCGCGCCGATTGCATTTATAAATCAAACCGATATGGCACTTTACCAGTGGTGTGTTTATTGTGGAAGAGCAGGAGGAGCGCCGCGCACGCAGTTCGCATCAACCTTGCATCAGTAAATCTTCAAACGTTAGGTTTATCCTGGGCCCAGCGCATCAGAGATAGTGATCAGGACTAAATATCGAAAAAACCACATATATTCCAAACCGACATATACATTTCACTACACATGTAAATTCTCTACGAAAGTAGAGAACGCTTAGGCCAAAGCACCCTGAAATTTGAGTGGTTAGTGGGTATCACCAACGTGTCAAAAAAAGGTTACCATTGGGTCCCAAGGATCGAGCACTTTTGGATTCCCATTGTCAAGAACTTGGATGAGGTCCTTGGGCGCGTGTGCTCGTGGAACGACTATTTGGTAAACGTATCTATATGAGGTAAGTAGGCGCAAAGGAGTAAAACAATCGTAACGTACTGATCAAACCATGCACTGGTCATCATAAACCAACCTTTATCGCCGATCGCCGTACCCCACGCATTCTCGACCTTGAACTTGACAATTTTACCGTCATTGTCGAGGTGAACACCAGTGAAGACCATCGCATGCGTCATGGAAGAGTCTCCCATTTCGAGACGTTCTGCCTTTTTCAAGTTGAGGGTGATATCGAAAGCGACCTAAATTGTGGTTGTGTGCGTGAGATTGGCGTGAGAGAGAGAAACAATTATAGTGAGAGAGCGTACGTTGTAGTCGAAGAGGTCCAGATCCAAAATGCCATCATAGCGGTCTTCAAACTTCATGACATCACAGCCGAAGAAGACGGGTTCGCCGGACTTGAGCATTTTGACAACAATATCTTTCATAATGTTCGCCTCGGTGTTGACGTCTATTATGAGGTTAACCACAGACACTTTGTCACGATAACTTGCGTTCTCACATAAGACGGGGCGACCACCCCAAATGTTACCAAGCTTGGAGACGGTGTAAAGCTTTGAGTACTCGTTCCGGGGGTCGTTTATGATGGAAAAGCTTGATGCCGGCTGAATGAGAGTTAAGGTTAACACGAGTCCACGGTCCGTCAGCCAAGGTGAATTTACCTGCTTCCCAACGAAAGTCCTGTAGAACTCGAGTGGGGTTCCAGTCCAAGTACCGGCCTTTCCATTCTTATCGTAATACGACCACTCGAAAGGTTTGTTGGGATGAGGAGGGACGCCAAGAAGAGCGGTCATAATCCTGTAGGTCTCGGCCATAAGTTCCTCTTTCTTCCCCCTGAGCATCGCCGTAACCGCTTCGTCCGTATTGTTTTGTAAGCGGAGGCTCTTCGAAAGGTTACGCAAGATCAAAGCGTGTTCCCGTACTTTCGTTTTGACAAGCGCATTTAATGGAGCGGAGAGGCCCGAGTGGTATGACTCGGGGTAGACGGTCTGGGGGACGCATCCATACGTTTCCCAGAGGTTCACGGCCATGTCCCACTGACCACCGTCGGAAACAAGGTCGGTTGAAAGATGGCTGAGCAGGCGAGAGGATGTTTCTAGATCAGCATGCTCAATTGTAAGCTCAAGATAGTAGTTCGCTTTCTCAAGCTTGTCGAAGAAGAAAAGGTGATTCTGTGGGCAAAATGGGTCGATTGGGAGAATGGCCTTCGAGCGATAAACGTAAGGAACACACCTGGGAGAGCTCGAACTCGCTCAAGTTCAACTTGCGCATGACGCTGTACCTCAACACGTTGGTACTAGCGAAAAGCCAACAACGCCCACTTTGCTTTTGGTTCGCAATGGGACCAGTCTTGAAATCAATCTCAGTATTGAAAACATGAGTGTCAATTACGTGAGCTTCGCGGCGCTGGAGTGCTGAGAGGTCGGTACGGGACAGGACGGTGCGCGCCAGAGTGTGGACTGGGGATGACGTCGAATCCTCCCATGATTCCAGGTTCGCAATTCTAATGGAACCATCCACGGACTTCGGCCAGGAGCATGCGTCTCCTATATGAGCTTTCAGGTCGCTCTTCTCGTGCTCAAGAGACTCCTCGTATTTGGGAGGAGGGCGATCGTATTGGCTGGCAAGCTTGGGTCTGGAGATGTTGACGCCCATGAGAGAGAACTTGTGTTAGAGTGAGAATATTCTTGTTAGCGATCTCCAGCCCTTCAAGTTGGTTGAGTAGTTATACCCAAGGCTAATCATGTCATCATGCCCCCAGGAGTACGGACATCGCTGGCATCGCGGCATCGACATGTGCTAATTTGGAATGCCATATTTGGTTAGAGATCTTACTCCTTAGGCAATGGGCTTACCGCAAGAATGGAAGAAGTCCTATTTCGCTTCTTTGACGGAGTTCAGGTAAGTAGTGCTATCCTGCCATCATCGCAAAGTTCAAACAACTTCCAGAATAAAAATTATTTTGCCAGACAATTCCCACGGGCTGTTTGCTCCATTACCTTGCTTGCTCCGAACAACTCCTCACGACAGCAGCAAATCTAGCACCGCCTGCTCCGTCATGTATCGAAGGCTATAATTATCCTCATTGCTACCAGCACCTGCACAGTTTATCCGATCCCCCAGCCATCGAGCGACGCTTAGCAGTGACATGGCTTCCAATGACACGAGTCAACGCAGCGTAGCTGACAATACACTCTCTACCATCGGCTCGCAAAAGCTAAGCGGGCTTTCCCCCATAGAGCACCCTGTGGTCTCGTCTCAACAGCCCGCGGATGATTTACCCAAATCATTGGAGGTGACAACTACAGCAGGTTCGGATATTCTCTTTCGCTCGACTTCTCAAAGTCACGAGCTTGTCAATTCGCAACACAGACTTTGGTTTCCTTCCAATACCGCCCCAGTGCCGGTACAATCCTGATCAAACTCAAGATCTACCACATTGGAAGACTGCAATTTTCGCCCTCGCCAGCACGTTTAGTACGTCCCCATGCTGCATATTGAAGCCTCATTCCGATTAAAAAATTGTATCTTCTCTTCAGCTGGTAAGGAGTTTCGCACGACTACAAAGACATGTCCGCTCACAACTGCCAAGCTATGAATCTGTACTATTGTCAACCGATATTGGGTACGTCTCCTTAAAATCACTTTATAACGCTTATCCCTCACCCCGCCTAGTTCAACTCGCAGAAGATTTTCACGTCGATTACATTGAGGTTTCTAGGATCCCTACACTGCTCCAGGCAGGGTCAGTGTTATGACGTGACTACCTGGCTGCATCTGATTACAACAACCAAAGTTATGCCGTAGGCCTTGTCTTTCTCTCCCCTCTCGGAGATTTGATTCGTCGACGACAACTCTTGCTCGTATTGATGTTCACGTCTGGATCTCTTTCCGTTGGGCTCGCACTCACAAAATCGATAGTCGGCTTCGAGATCTTGTCTTTTTTCGTCGCAATTTCATCCGTGACACCACAGGTGTGTATTTTTGTGAGGTCAACAAGCGTACGAAGGAAGCTAATCGGTTCAAAGGTTTTGATGCCCCTCACCGCTGATCTTGCACATCCAAGCAGACGCGCAACATCCATCGCAATTGTAATTTCCGGTCTACTGATGGGCGTGCTCCTAGCGCGCGTCCTCGGTGGAGTAATCGCCCAGTTTTCAAGTTTCAGGAATATATATTGGATGGGGGTTGGAGGTAAGAATAGTTGTAGAAAGTCTGAACAAAACTAAACCCGCCCATAGGCCAATTCCTTCTCCTCTTGGCAATCTACCTCGTCTGCCCGGATGTTCCCGTCAAGAATCCTGATCTCACCTACCTCCAAATCCTATTGACAATGTTGAAGTTCGCGGTGACGGAACCTTTGTTACTCCAGGGCGCGTTGATCTTTTTTGCTGGGAGTGCAATTTTCGCTGGGTTCTGGGTAACCATGACTTTCCTGCTCGCTGGCGCGCCGTACCACTATTCAACGCAAGTCGCCGTTACTTCCCTTCTCTTATAAACTCATCTTTTAATAGATTGGAGATCGGAATTTTCGGTCTCGTTGGGATGTTTGGAATTTCTACCGCTCCTTTCGTTGGCCGTCTAGTTGATGGATTCGTTCCTTGGATGGCAACTTTCGTATCACTCGTTCTTGTTCTGTTGTCACAAGTGATCCAGACGGCTGCTGGTAAGATCAGCATCGGTGCGGTAATTGTCGCGACGTTGGGTAACATATTTTATTGCATGAGATCTGGCTGAATTGACGACTTCTTTGTCAGTGCTTGATATTGGTGCCCAGGCCTGTCAAGTTTCTGTCACGGCAGCTGTCTTCGGGTCCGTTCCTTATATCACTCCCTCCGTTGTTTCATATTCATAGCCTTTCCTTAGAATTCAGCCCGAAGCCAGGGCGCGCCTCAACGCCGTCCTTGTCTTCTTTGTAAGCCAGTTCAACCAATGGTTACAAAAATGTGTACTGACCAATTCCCTTACATTCAGTTATTCATGGTCAGCCATTGGTCATTCCTCTTTTCTTCGCACTCTAGTCCTGACGATAGCAAAGGGTCAAGTTATGGGAACGGCTGTTGGTACAGAGCTGTTGGTCAACCGCAGCTATACATTTTCCTCGGCCGTCCGTGTTTCTTTTTGTGTTTTCCAATTCGTTGTCCTACTCGCCCGCGGCCCACACGTCCCCCGAAAAACGTGGTTTGGCTGGGCAGGTGGTATGGAGTTTAGGAAACAAAGTCTGGAGAAGAAGTCTGTTTCTTTTGTGGACGAAAAAGGAGCTGCAATCAAAACCGACTCCCCCGCTTGAGAGACAGTCATTTCTTGGACATTTCGATACCTATAACTTAGAGTAAATAATGTATCTCAATCGCTAAAGGTTTCTGCTTTTTTGATAGATAGAATCGGGTGAATCTCACCCCGAAGCTGCGGACATGTGACGACGCCGCTTGAGGATGCTATGGTGCCGTGATACTACGTTTCACAGCGATGACGTTGCGCCGAAGTGTGATAACGCTAAATCAATCCCCTGCCGCATCTCAGATATCAAAATACGAGCAACGTATTTGCCGTGCGGCGTAGTGGTTCCCGTGTTGCATTACGATAGAAATCTTCGGAAGGATGGTAAACTTCACGTGGACCCAATGCATGCCGAATAGGTCGGATACGGCGTTGACATTGTTCGCACTTGGATTCGGGGAGGGTTACAAACTTGGCAAGTAAGCAATACCGAATCATAGCTAAAAATATATCCCCGATTAATGTTCAGAGAAATTCCATTAAATGAGGTCGACTAAAGGTGATAAACGGGTTCGGGAACTACGCCGGAGAACGTTGGCCTACAAGTCTGAAACACCTCAATGGAAGTTAGGGTAAAGGTACAAGCTGGAGGAGGGAAACTGACTTGCATTAATCTTGTTTTGGGCAGCACAGTTGCGCTGATAGCTAGTCAGTCACCAGTGCTAACCAAGTGCTAACCTCCCAATCCTCTATATGCGCCCGGCATGGAACGGCGTTTCATTTACTAGCCACGTACGCCCCTCCCGTTCTACCACCAACCGCGTTTCAATCTTAGTACTAAAACGGACGAAGCTTCGAGTCGAGGTTGGCTCAGTTGATAGTAACAGCAAGTTGTTACCACCTGATTAGATTATTCTCATCAACCCAGCATACGAGGAGAGAAGACCCTATTCACCTGGAGTTCGACTTCCCGTCACATGCTGTATTTTCTCTAGGATCAGAGTCATACGACCACAATCTCGACCTTTACGAAAAGAAGAACGGTAACCTTGAGTTTGATTCCCGCCTGGTGCACATGATATAGAAATGAGGGTATACAGTTCGGGCAAAGAAATCAACCCATCTGGTACTCACAAATTTGGCAAATTAGGGATGATTCAGAAAAGTAGCTGATGATCGATGAGCCTTTGAAGAGACTAAATCGCTCAAGGATCGCTTCCTCCCACTGGCAGCTTCGAGATTCAATACTAAGTATTCCCACCATACCTGAGCCGGACCCCCCCCCCCCCAAAGTGCATGCCCAAATCGAACATATATTGGGCTCAAGTCAGATAGACGCACTTGAGATTGCTCACCATAGGTCGGGTGCGAGGGGAAGTGGGTCACGTGATTATTTGGAATTGATGTGTGACGAGCGTGACGTCATGTGACTAAACTTTCTTTGCTTATTGAAGTTATTCCCCGACTGACAAAAACAAATCGACGCTCCTCAATAGTCCTCAGTCCATGGAAATCTTTAGCAGTCTGTGATAGGGGGCTGAGCGAAGCACGCCGCTTAAGAGCTGACAGATGGGACCTAGAGGAGACCCGGAATACTTAGTATGGTGAGGTTCGTCATTTGGCTGTTGCAAACTTGCACGCGCGACTGACCTTTATATTTGCTTTATATCAAGTTAAAACTCATGCATCACGACTGACATTCAAGATTCACCGCCACTATTACAACTTGTAAGGCATGATTTCCCACTCACTCCCCGCGATGTCTCATTGATGTGAGCCATCGTTGTCCATTGGTTGTCCAGTCTGATGTTCTCATACGACCTAAATCGCAAGGTACAGTGTCTCACATGCTACGAAAAGTTGAGAGCTCAAATTAATCCGTTGCACAATGCACTGAAAAACAGCCGACCGATGCGCGCTCCGAGTCATCCGCACCGCGCCCACCAATTTCCTGGTACTGCCACCTCCTAAAGAGCAACCTCTCCGAAAGCAAAGCCGAACCCCATCCACTCTTACCTGTTTTAAAAACGGCATAAATCCATGAAATCAGCATCAAGCATACCCAGGAGGGGTTCTGTTGCTCAATCATGCCGGACGGAGCGCTCTGTAATCTTTTCTCACCCCAAACGATCAAACATGCTCCTCCTCCTCCGCGATCATCGAGCATCCATTACTACGAAGGACCGCTCAATAATTACATTATGCTTCTCCATCTGGCCATCGTGCTCCATGAGTGTGCTCGCCAGAAGGAGTTACTACCCCCACTTTGGGCGAGCGCCATGTTCTGTACCATCTAATCAATCTGCGACTGGGAAACTTCAAATAGTGCCACGATTTCACGAACCCTGTTGCTAGAAAGTTTATCCCTCGACACGGAGCGTACGACGTAATGCGTTCCTCGCTTCGCGTTCCTTTTCTCATTGCTGGCATGCTCTCGGTGGTAAGAATGTGCACATTTCCAAGCAACCCGCTCATATCCGCACGAATGTGCATAATATTCACAGGGTGCAGGTATGTCCCTACTGATTAAATATCAGGTCTGATCCAATCGCATATCCGCCTTCTAGAGCTGACTTGATTTAGGACATGCAATGCGTAGAAAACTGCGACGATCCCGAACCACACAATCATGTCGCGTACGAACAACCTGTTTGGCAGACCCTGATCATGTTCGGTGAGTTTGACTCGCGATGTTCGTTTGTCATGATCCGTCTTCGCGACTCATCACCCTCATAGTGGGAGAGGCACTGTGTAAGTCTATTTATTGTTAAGGTTGATTCCATCGGTAAAATATCTACTTCCGTAGGCCTTCTGCCCGTACTTTACACGCGATATCTTCTCCCCGGGTCCGTGAAGCTTCCTCTTGATGAAGAAGTCCATCGCGTCAAACGTGAGAAGGAACCCTTTACGGGGTGGACACCTCTTTTGTTTTGGGTTCCTGCCATTTTTGATATTTTCGGAGCAACTGTTCGTAAATTCCAAAACCCTCATTCGAACAACGCTAAATCGGTCATCCATTAGTTGATGAATGTTGGCCTTTTGTACACTCCCGTGTCAATTTTCCAAATGACGCGTGGAGGTCTGGTTTCTTTTGTTGGAATTTTTAGTGTGGCTTTTCTTCGTCGGCGCTTAGAACTCTACCAGTAAGTTTCCAAAATTTGGGCCTTACCCCAAACTAAATTATCATTCAGATGGATTTCGCTTTGCCTTGTTGTTTTTGGTGTAACCATCGTGGGCCTCAGTGGTCGCCTTGTAGAGTTACGGACTGTCAAGCCGGACTCACAACTTGAAGGGGGTACAGATACAATCAGCGTCCTCATCGGTAACCCACCGTCTCTCATGGATCCATCTAGCCAACTGATTTATCCCACTCGAGGCATCTGTTTAACCTTGTGCGCGCAAATATTGTACGTCGTATGATCATCTCTCTATATCTCTTCCGAAGTCGCCTCAGCGTAGCAATTCAATTCATAATTGAGGAAAAGATTATGTCTCAATACGACGTTGAGCCCATGCTCGCCGTTGGTCTCGAGGGCACATTCGGAATCATCACGGTTCTCGCGACCATGGCTTTCCTCGCCATTCCCTCCATGTCATCTCATTCTGTGTACTTCGACATTTCTCGGGGATGGCACCAGCTCATCGACAACCCCGTCGTCCTTTCGTCCGCTGTGGCCATTGCCGTCAGCGTATCGGTATTCGACGTGTGCGGGGTGGGGATAACGCATCGCGTCAGCGCGACTGTGCGCACCCTTACGGATTCGTGTAGGACCTTGGTTATTTGGATATTGAGTCTGGGACTTGGTTGGGAGATCTTGGTGTGGCCTGTTTCGATGTTGCAGGTGCTTGGCTTCGGGATCTTGGTGTAGGTTTTCACGTTGTGTTCGCGACAGGTCTAAAACAATAATTTTGATCTTTGCAGATATGGAACAGTATGTTTTTTCTACCTGCCGACCCCTGAGATGCTCTTACCTATGATGTTACAGCTGCTGTACAATGGCCTCGTTGCTATTCCATCGTTCTTACATCCCCGGAGGTCAATCGTGTTGGTCGTGGATCAGCTTGAGGATGATCGATGATGGAATGAACCACATTCAAGCTGTTCAATTACTCGGCCTAACGCTAACCCAAGCAAGTTTGATATGCCTACCACACCAAAAATCGTAATCAGAGCGCTTCATAGCCAATTTAAACTCAACGACTCTACACTGTAACGACCTGTACGTCCAACAGTAAAATTTCCAAAACGTCACGTCGGTTCCTGGCCATCCACTGGACCACACACAAAATTATGGTCTCTTCAACCAGAGCCATCAAGACCGTCCCATCTTGTATCTCTACCCCCAGCATTGAAAACAAAGTCTTCATAACAGAGTAAAATTTATCAGAGTCCTCCTCTGAGAGTATTTCCACCAGATTCGCTTCTGGACGCGGCTTATGACTTTTTGGGGGTGCGCGCAGGATGCTAGTCCACCGCTCCACAATAGTTCCTGTCAATTTGCGAATTTCAACGGCAATGGGATGTGACAAGGGCGAATCATCCTTCAAAAGACGAAAGACGCGGTGGGCACGATCATACTCGGATTTGAATTCCATTGCACCGTTCACGATAGAATCGAACACGAGTTTGAACTTATGATCCTCTGAATCTTGGGAGGGTGCCGAATTCGCTGTAGGAGGCGGCTTGCTTGTTAATTCTTTGAGAAGCGCACTGTAGTCCTTTTTTCTCCGTTGAGAATATGGGTCTTTCGACGCGGTAAATGCCCGGACCGTGTTGAGTGCGGATACAGGGGAGCAGAAGGTGAGAGACCCGTTAGGGTTGACGTTTAGCATGATAACTTCGTTTATTTCGTGAGTTTGGTGCGCCGTGAGTTTGGTTATTTTGAAAGTGAAGAGGTCGTTTTGAGCTTTGGGCGTCGCCCGATAAGCTGCTAGTGCTGCAGCGATCTCTTGTAATCCTTTTCCATCTTTAGCAGAAGAAAAATCTTGGCTCGTCGAATACTGGGTATCAGCTTTTTCTAAGGAGATGTCGGACAAAGAGCTCTGCGCCATTGCTCTCAACCCGGGGAGTTGTAACAAAACGTTCCTCAGGATGATGGCGAGCTGCGGACTGATGACGCAGAGGCGATGTGCACCCGATTCTCCCATGATAAGACCTTCCCACAGTCCAAACCCGTTGGTACCCAGCACAAACTCTTCTCCGTCCGCAGCCTCGCAAATGCCCAAGAAGTAGGTGTTTGATATGCTTTCATATTCCATGGCATGCCAATTCTCAAAGTCGGCGTCGACTTGGGTTCTGAGAATCATTTCCGCCAATTTTGCAGGCCCGTATTTTTTTTTGAGTTCCTCTGCGGTGGAAATGATAGCGTGATGGGGAGTATCAAGATAGTAACGCATGCCAAATAGCCACACGTCAAAATCGTGTTCAAAGCCTTTTTTTTCTTTGAATTTACGGATCCAGGTAGCGAGAGGCGCGTTTTCTGGGTGGTCCTGCGAAAAATACGAGGCAACTTGTGTAGCTTTGCGATAGTGTAGAAATATGAATTTGCGCAATGTTTCGAGTTGCTTTCTTTTAATGGTGATTTCCCTCTTGGGGCGAGCGTCGTGGATTTGATTGATGAGGTGGGCGGCTTTAGCTTCCAGCTCGGAGAATTTTTCTTCGATGTAATTGACGTTGGTGGGGTCTCCGACGTCTTTGTAGAGGTTCATCTCCCCGTATGCCTTCCCAGCAGGACGACGGTCCAGAACCCCCTTTTCAACATCGTAGAATGAGATCGTATCGATCTCTGGTACTGCACTCCCAGCCTTCTTGGCTGCTTTGTAGGCTTGTCGCTTCTGATCCCTCCTGATCCGAGTCGTATCACGATTGAGCAGAAGAATGCGCTAACGTATCGTAGAGCACGCACGTTTTTGCCACCGAATCCTCAGGTTGGAATCGACGTAGAATGAAGCGTGGAATGTAATGTTGGTACTGATCTTTGGATACTCTTGGGGTACTTATGGTACAGAAGCTCAGCGCTGAGCTTCTGTAGATGTTCCAGCGCTCAGCTCCCGTGACTCATGAACGACAGGCGCTTAGCCGTCAACAAGAACAAAGTGGCCTTATCTTAGTCGAAAGCGTCAGGGAGGCCTGAGAGGGAAGGGAGAGCCGAAAGAGTCAGATGACTGCTAAAATTGAATATTATATTGATCACTCACTTTCCTCACTGAAGGCAGTGAATCTACGGTCTACCTCCATGTTGAACGTTAAATGTTAAGCGCTAATCGATAATTTTCGATGTGAGCGGCGAGTGCTGCGATCTTTCGGCGTTGTTCAAGAATCAAATTTCGTTGTAATCATTTATAACTTGTTTAGCGTGCTTTCCCGTGTGTGTAGCTCCAGAAATGAAGCATCAAGTGAAAAAGACTGTGACGAATCTTTGGTGCTAGCCTGGCGCGAAGAAACATTTGACACGTGAAATTTCTATGTAGGCACGCGACAACTATCCCACGCACGTTTCATCTCTCCCATAACGTCCAAACGTATTCAGCTCACTGCCAACGATGGCCAGCGGTCCCGAGGCGCAAGATGCCCTTTTTGACAAGCCTACTGACCGTGACGTCCCACACCATCTAGCGCGAGCGACGTTCCGCATGGACTTTCCCCCATCCTACGTTATCGTTGGCGTTTACAGGCTGTGTACGGACAAGAACCTCTACAAACCAGCTTGGGACAAGTGTAAGCACGCGGCGAGGCGCGGGGCAATTGTTGGCATCGTCTGGGTGCGTATCTTCGTTGTTCTTGTTCTTGTTCTTGTCTTGTACCATGGTTAACCGGCTTTGAAGGCTACCCTTACCTTCGGGATCCAGAAGAAGATTATAGAGATTTTCCTAGCAAAGTACACTAATTTTTGAACTTTTCGACCTTAGCTGATGTTCATCAGTTCGCCGCGCATCACTGGCTTGTCGAATGATACGATGTTCGGGTATAAAATACCCTTCAACATCCATACCTGTTCGTCTCTTCCCCTTTCCCTTCCTCACCCCTCTTGTTTGACTCTATTACAGACGCCGCCGTCCTCTTACTCGGCTTTCAACTGACTCAAATACTTCGCTTCTTCCTCGCCCGCAACATGCGCATCGCACGAGACAGGGCATGGGACCAAACTGTCGCTTCAAGAGGTAAAGGGCCCGATTTTTGGCAACCATACGTGGAAGAGTGGGAACACCCGCCTGTGGTTGAGAGATCGGAGTTGGTGAAGCGTTGGTTTGGTGGGTGGTTTGGCCTTTTCGTGATTAAACGTGGTATGTTCGGTTTTGTTCTCTCTTAATCGTACAGGGTAACTCATCATGGAGATAGTCATCCTGATACCCTTCAATTTCTACCCGTTCATCGGAATCATCATCTCGGCGTGGTTTAAGGCGTTGGGAACTGGTCATATACTACACAGACGTGTACGCGCTCACCCATCCATCCGCTCCATCCTTGATCTCTCACCCCCGTGCAGTACTTCGAAGCGAAGAATATGACAGAGGATCAAATCTCGGTGTTTATAGAAGAAAGGAAATGGGAGTACCGCTGTCCGTCGTTGTCCTTTCGTAATATTCTAACTCCCCAACTGACACCTACGTAGCATTTGGATTCGCCGCTGCCCTTCTTGAGGGTCTCCCAATTATTGGACTAGTGTTCACCATCTCCAACCGTGTTGGTGCAGCTATGTGGGCTCACGGTCAGTGCGTTTATTGCAAAAAAGAGACCAGCTGAAGATTTGTTTTTGTAGATCTTGAGAAGAGACAACATTTCGTAGCAGAAGGCGGCTTGACGTTGAAGAAAGACTGAAATATGCTTGTACGGGTTCATTGTACGACTAAAAGACATTCTTGTCCGGGGACTCCAGTGAGGCATGAGAACCCTGCACTACTCATTGGGTTGCACGTTGCCTCCTCAAGCTCACCTGTTTACGACAGAGCGAATGCACTTCTACATACATAACGCCTCCGACCAGCGAGGCCGACGGATCAAGTTACTGAATATGAAATCCTTGCTCGTCGGGCGAGGAGTTTGGAATCAGGCTCCCAGGGAATTGAGTAATGCAGCTGAAGCTTGAGCTTGAGGGTGCGCTTGCAAGAGAGGGGTGAGTGGTGAACAGGCCGCATGTAAGGTGTTGATCATGTGGTCTTGGGGCCTGAGAGTACTGAGCGCTGAGCTTCTTTATGTATCGCGGTTGATCCGACGAGGAACTCCGTCTCGGATTGTAAGTAGGGTGTGACGGATGTGAGGTCCGAAGTGTCGGAGTTAACATCACGTCGTATCGATCCTTGCAGAGAGCGCCTCATGTTCACTTACTCTCTTCAAGGTAAGCCACCCTCCGACTCAAATCAGATTCCGAGTTCTACAAGCTGATTTATCTACTTCTCATCTCATCGACTCCAGGCACTTGACTTGACTTGAATGGCGGTGGATACGTCAAACGCACATCTCTCCAGGCAAAACGGAATTCCACAGGTTCCAAGACGCTCGGGCACCTCTAAGACCGACACAATGCTCGCAGTATCCGACACCATTGTCTCGACGCTGAAAAATGTCGGAACATTGAGCGGGTTACCTTTTATCCAAGAGGCCGCCTCGGTGGCTCTTACAATCCTTGAGATAATTCAGGTATTGCTCAATTATACTTTGTTTCGTAACCGAACGCTGACGTGGCATTTCCCTGCAGAATGTTCGGCAGAACAAGGACGAGTTTCGTCGATTAGCGAATGATGCGTGTGAGATAACGTACGCGGCGGCTCTCATGTGCAATGAATACGAGAAAAGGCGTCAACCAATTTCGGAAACGACGAAGAAAGATTTGGAAGAGCTCGTGAGGTCACTATCTTCGCCACCCGCTTCAATCCTCGCCTAATTTTTCTTTATACGAAGGAAATTGAAGACTATTGAACAATACGCCAACGAGAGCATCCAACGCAAATGGTATTGGAAGTTGGCACGTAACAAATCTGACCAGGGCACGATCGCTGCGTATCGTCAGGACCTCAATAGTTCAGTTTCCCTCTTCGGGGTACGTTTTACACCATCCAACTAACTATATAATCTCACGTGGTTTGTGATTTCGCCTAGTTCCAATCCCATCTGACCATCCGCGAGGCAGTTGCAAAACTCGAACAGCAAAGTGAAAAAATCGCACAACAACAAATCAAAATTTTACAAGAATTGAAGGATCAAGAGGTCCGAAGATCCGAAGAGGCGAGGGCCACAACTTTGTTGGGCAAAGAAGAAGCACCAAAGGCGAGGCAGGGAGTGACTCCAGGTTCTGGAAGCCGATCTGTCTCGCCCCTCTCAATCAATCAGAACGTTTGGGGTCTCCGTCATACCGACTTCGTTGAATCCCCGACTTCTCAAATCTCTTTTAACTCAATCGCAGGGAATAAGACGAAAACGAATAATTCTACGACGATTACGAATAACAATTCTGGGAATACCCGCATCACGACGATCTCGGATTCGAATAATGACAATTCGGTCCGACATTATGGTGCGTTCGTTCACTAAAGTATTCAAATAATTTGAGCTTTGATGTTATAGGGAATCACCGCCGTGGGTCAAGGAGGTAACAAGAACACGCCCCATTCCAGTCTTATCTTTGGTGTTTCCATTTCAACCTGGCAGCGTACTACCTACTATTAATTACGCAGAACTATAGAGAAGTCAGGAATTACCATTAGAGTTGGTTTGTCACGGTGCACTGGTGGGGCTCTATCTACTACAGGCATTCGAGGTCTGCAGATACGACGTCAACAGGTTCCGTTGGTGTCTTTCAAAAGCGTATACTGTAGTCGTAAATAATTGTAGAGAGATATTTCTTCCAATTGACCAGAAGGGCGTACTTTGGAATATCTGTTTTGCTTGCAGACAAAAAATATCACTCCCGATGGAAACAATATATATGAGTCGACCCAGGTTCGAACTGAGGACCTTCTGTGTTAACGGGACATTTGAGTTATCCAATGTTAGACAGATGCGATAACCAACTACGCCATCGACCCTGCTTTGGGGCATCTAGTTGAAGTTATTCGCATTGTGACCAGTTGACTAGTGCTAGTGAATTGTTGGCTCTGTGGAGATGTCCCATAAATTCAAGAGAGTATTTCACTACGCAATTTATACTCATGTCGACACCCTGGTTCCGACGAAGCCCTCACATATTGGGCATGATTAGACCCCGAGCGCGGCACTGAATGAAAACGATCCAAGCACAGCCACCGATATTTTCTTGTTATCAAGTTCACTCAATATGGCAAAGAAAGCTGCAGCCCGAAGCCACGCATCCAAATCCGAGTCGAAAAACGCCCATCTCTCTTTAGTTCTGGCAGCTGCTCATGCAGTTCTAGGTATTCTTCATCGAAACGATCTGCCCTGCGCAGTCTTTGGAAGTTTGGCGTGTAAGATGTACGGAAGCGTTCGGTGTCCCAAGGTGCGTCCCCTTTGGCTTCCAAGCCCCAGGCCTGAAACAGAGGATAATAGGACGTAGATCTTCTCGTCTTTCCGCCGTACCAAACCGATACCCTTGCGGAGGACATCAAACGCCTCATCGTCGACAGCTCTCCCCGGCACTTCTTCCTCACACTCCCACGAGACCCCGCAGCAACGTACAGGATTCTCCACTTCCGCGAGCTTTATGGAGGCCCGGACTGTAAAGTCGACATCCTGATTCCGGGGATTATGCACCTACCCTCCATCCATAAATGTCGCATTGTGTTCCGCGAGAACATTCCCTTGCTCCCTTTCGCTTTTATCCTTCTACACAAGCTGCAAGGATGGGATGACCATCGGAATTCAGAGGAAACGCACAAGAAGGGGAAGCAGCACCAGGACGCAGGCGATTTGAGGCGGATGATGGCGTTGGCGAGCACCGAAATTGGAATGACGGATTCGAGGGGGGAGCGCATAACGATATGGGATGACGAGGAATTGTTTGGAGAGGAATTTATGCGGTTAACGCGGGAGAGGGTGGTGCAATACTGCAAGGCGTTTCCGGATCGGAAGGATGGGTGGGAAGCTCTTGGATTTGAGACTGAAGGAGCCCTTGAGTTGAGAGTGGGGGTATTAACGATTGTCGACGCGGAGAAGGACTCTGAGTCACCGCTTCGGACATCTTTAAACCTGGGGAACCGCGAGGCGCTGCAATTTGAGGTTGAGGAGGCTATCGAGTTTCAATTGGGGGCCTTGACGATTGGCGACGTGAAATAGATTATGAGAGGTTTCAAACATGGGAGGGGAAGTCGGCCGTTGGATCAAGTAGAGGATTGGCTTTGGCACAGAGCATGAGCGATACCAGCTAATATTTAAGTATATCGTAACCTATGTACGCGTATGAGAATAAACCTGTCGAGGGAGTGGTAGGGCTAGCCTGGATAATGGTCTCTGTCTGTTGGCACAACGTATTGACTTGCCGAGAGCCCGTTCTCCACTAGATCCCGCTCGTCATATGCGGTAATCGGTCGATTGACACTTTCATTCTTGCAGGTCTTGAACGTTTGAACATCCATGAATTCAACTGGGAACAGTCCCGCCTTAGTCCGAACTTCCATAGCTGATAAACAAATAGAGGTCGCGACGTTATACAACTTGTCACTGCCAAGTCACTGCGTCTTCACGCCTTTGACCATGAAACAATGATGATTGACCGTGAACGTTGTACGTGATTCGGAGAACAAGAATTAAAAAGGGCTTCGCCATTTTTTACTCATTTGTTATCTCACTTGTTATATCATTTTTTAGACGAGATGAAAAACGGGCCTAGAAATGAGATGGAAAACGGCCGGAAGACATTGGTTTTTCAAAATATGCGTGACGTCGCTTTTTGACGCGTTTATTCATCGTCTTCGGCGTTTATGGCTGTCCTTTTCATAATTGCTACAACCTCATCAAGTTCACATTTTATAAAGGCAGTCCAAAGGCAGTCGAAAGATGAAGCGATCTTATCTCACCGTACAGCCACATTCGCACGACAGGAGCCGTCGGATTTCTCCGGAGAACACCTTGAACCAAACTGCTTCTGCCAGGCTGCTGCCCTATTCCAACGTCCGCCAACATCAGCACTCCTTCCTGGCCCAAAGGCACGCTCAAGAGCTCAAGAGTCTCAAGGACCACATTGGCTAGATTTTTCCGGCGTAAACACGTGCAAGTTGCTCTGCCACGAAACTCAAAAGCTTGACAAGCGTACCCCTCAACACTCTGCCATGATTGACATGAATGGAGACCTCGGTCACGGGACAGATCATTTTAGAAGAGATTTTAACGTTGATGGGGGAAAGTCCTCGATGTCAGTGTGAAAAACTGATCAAACAACGCTGTCGATGCCAGAAGTCCAGAAACTTGAACCTGGTGATGGCGCTTGAAGATAGGTACCGAGTTCACAGCTGTGTCGTTCTGCATTTCCTGCTAATATTTGTCTTTTGAAGTGGTTTTCTTTTCAGTATGTGAGTATCTTCGCAGAAATTTATTCGGGGCGTGTGTTGACGACATTCAAGAGCGTCATAGTTCACTTTTCCTGATACCGGGGCGTCTAGGGTGTCTAGGTCGAGGCCCGAACCTACATTACATAGCTTCCCACTGTTCAAAGTTTTGACAGCGAGGATTTACCGAGTGTTCCACGGCCAATACAGACCGAAGATCGGCCGCCTTAGTTAAAGCCTTGACGGAGGGAAGGAGCAACAGCAGAATCCCCACGTTCCTCTCTGTCTGTCTTCTGGGAGGAGAGCCGCACCCAATCAGAACTGAACCACCTCCAATTTTCAAAGGTACTTTGGTCTTTTATATTTTGGAACCCAACAACTCGCCCTCCGAAACGGAATTCACAAACCAGTCTCACAGCAGCCGCAAGGGCCGATCATCTCCTCGCTATCTTACTCTCGGTTCTGCTTTACTCTCTCAGCCACCCAAAACTTGCCTACCTCGTCTATAACTTGAAATCGCTCATCGTTAACTTGTTAGAACCCCACTTTCCGCCTTCTCAATCCCGTTAACATGACGTCTATCGCCGCCCTCATAGAAGCCCTCACGAAATATGTGGCTTCAGCGAGAGTGGTGACGGTATGTATAGTATTATCTAATTCTAGGCTTGCTCGTTGAATGCTGTGGATGATGCGTGTAGTCTTTTGACGGTCAGTCGTTGCTTAAGCGTTGATTGTGGAGTCCCTATATGAATATTGACGACATTCCATATAGTTCTGGGCGTCACAATCTTCGTTTATGATTACTTCTTAACGTTAGGAATGGAGGTCGAGTTCGTGTGGTCATCAAAATGGGGCTTTATGAAGGTGCTTTATCTCCTCCAACGATACTTGCCGTTCTTGGACTCTGTCTGTTTGTGTTTGATGCGTAAGTGCATGACGAATCTCCCTCTGTTTTCCACCTTCAACTAATTGGTTTTGATTATCGTCAGATCAGTTGTCAGCAGACATCGATACGAGGGTCTGTCTTATCGTTGAAAGCGCGCGCGGTTGTATGCGCCCCTCTTCTACAAGTAGTTTCATGCCGCTAATTTGGACCTAGGGTTGATGATCATTGGTTTCGCACTTTCGGAACGTACGTCGGTCGGTTCCTTCATTGTCCGGGCCTATGTAATGTTCAATATCTTTAGTGATTCTGACGCTGCGCGCATGGGCAGTGTGGGAGCGGAGTATGAGGGTCGGGATATTCCTGTCCGTCCTATTCACCCTCACCCTTGCGGCAGAACTGGCCGTAACGAGGCTTTTCCTCCACGGTTTACGTTGTGCGCCCCTTCTTCTTTCTTGTCGACTGCCATCTCTGATGGCGTTGGCACAGTCAGTGAAAAACCTTATCCAGAATTTGTTGGGTGTTTTATAACTGGCGCAAATCACCTGGTGTCTTTCAATTGGATTGTTTTAATGATATATGAAGCTGGTTTGTATCTCCTCTGATCGTTGACGCAACTAATCCGTTTTTTTCAGTGACGTTAGTATTAATGATAATTCCTGCAATCGCTGCATGTGAGTTCTGTGAATTTTACACTCCACGATTAACCCTGCGCTAACTTATCTCTGCCTTCTAGACAGAAACGGAGGAAACATTCCTTTTTATCATGTCATTTATAGGGACGGTGAGATACAGCAACTTCCTCTGCGAAATCGTTCTAAAGCCTCCTTTCTCTAGGATTAATGGTATATGTATACTTATTCAGTAAGTAACAGTCGACCATTATTCCTTCACAACCTCTACTTACTGGGCTGTCGACATTAGCATTTTCAATAATAAACGTCGTTGTCGTCAACACCCTTCCCGTAAGACACACAAATAATTTGCGCTACCGACGGCGGCTAAAATGGTTTCACAGGAAGAGTATATCGATCTGCTCTCATCGTACGTCTTCCCTTCATTCAACTTTGCACCGCACTTATCCTTGGGAAGAGTGGAACGTGTACTCCATTCAATGTTGACCAGCAGAGTCATTCTTGAGGTTCGGCAATATATATCCAGGCAATCGGCATGGAAAGATGGGCTTACAGATCTCCAAATCGATCTCGACGCCAGCGTTCCAGAAAAGCGGTTCCGGAGACCGCATAATCGTGGCCCATTGGCAGGAGAGAGACGGACTCCACGCTAAGATGTACAAATACGATTTCTCTAAATCTATTTTATAGCCTGTTTGCGATATCGGGAAGTGTGGCCACGACCAGATGGGTAACTCGACACTAATTTGTCCAGCATACCCCAAATTGAAAGGAACGGTACGTCTGGGCTGTAGCGTTGGATCTCGTGGTTATTACTCGGAACGCTTCTCATGTCGCTGCGTGCAACAAAGTCCCACAAGGTTGGTGGCGGATTCCAGCCAGTTTCAACTCATGAGTTCTTCGGCGCGGATTAGAATTTTTGTGATTTCGACAACAAGTCAGGATATTCTTGTCCACTCTATTTACACTTACGCTCACAGCAGCAATAGCCGTGATGGGGCTTTTCCATCATGGGCTAACACTGCACCCCTTTTCTTTCTTGTCGACTGCCTACTCTCATGAAGTCGACACAGTAGGTTTCTCAGCGGTATTGGTGTTGATAATGATTCTTGGAACAGCATGATGAATGCAACGCTAATCGAGGCCTGTCTTTCCCCCTGCAATCTTTTCTCGTGGCACCTATGCCGACTCTTCTTTCATCGTGCGTCCGCCCGACGGCAAGAAGAGTCAGCAAGTTGGAAGAGCATTTATGAATAAAGGATACACCATTGCTGTACATATGTTATCCATTGCAAAATGTCGAATTCTGAAGAAAGATTGTGTTCGAAATTCATGCCATTTTCTGAAATCCTCTGCATCATCGACAGATGAGCAGCTGAACTTTGAGAAAAAGGTAGAACCCGAATAAAAAGGGAGGGATCCCCCGACGACACAAGCCGGTAGTGCAGTAGCAAGGTCATCGTGTCCAAGGGGTGCAAGCAGAGCCCAAGGAGCTGGGGCGGCAAAAATTAGATAACCAGAAATGGAGGCGGTGCCTCCATAATAGTGGTTAAACTATTAAGAACAGATACTACACTTGATCTAAGCCAAAAGGCCAGAGTGGTGAAGAATAGAGGCGGTGGGCGATACGTATTTATAGGAGGGCAGGAATGCGCACGGACCAGCAGCGCCATGCGGCATTTGAATAGCCCCCATTTGAAATTGTAAGCATGTTTCTGGTGTATACGACGTACGTACATTGAGGACCTATGTAAGGATGGCAAGCAAGGCAGTCTGTGTAAATTGCGTAATAGGCTTCCATAGCGCTGTTTTATGAGAAAGTTCAGGCTTGAGGTCAAGCTTGGTACGAGTGCTAAGAGCGGAGTTTGTCCCGTCGGCGATGGAATGTGGCACTGCCTCATGGCCCCAAAGGCCCAAACCTGTTCTCGCCACCGGCCAGTGTGCCAACTTGGTGCCAACTACGGTGTAAGTGAAGCGCCGCGCAGCTTTGACAGCCTCACTGCAATTCACCGGGCCATAATGGCATTTATCTTTCATTACGCTTCCCTTTCTAAAGTTCCACTTTCTGCCTTTGCTCCTCCACCACATTGTTTCCCAAACATGGATTCACCATTCTCTGAAAGCCCTAAATCAAAGGACTCACCAAAGTTACCAGATACCACTGACACGATGTCACCTCCAACACAACACCCAGATTTCTGGTTCTACGACGGGTCTATCATTCTCTCGGTCCACACCACCATGTTCCGTGTCCATCAGACAATCCTATCTAACCACTCCGAATTCTTTGCTGGTCTTTTTACGGTACCTCAGCCATCAGGAGAGGCTGTCATCGATGGGTGTCACGTCGTACCACTATACGACAAGGTTGAAGATGTCGTGGATCTATTAAAAGCAGTTTATGACCCATCGTACGCTTCTCATATCCTCTTCCTATCAACCCTCCACTGACTCTCCCCCAAGCCACTTCGACAGCCTCCCACCAGAAGCAGAACTAGACCCCCTGCTGGACTTTATATCGGGCATCCTCCACCTTAGCACCAAATACGTCATCCGTTCCCTCCGGCAACGCTGCATCTCCCTCCTCTCATCCAAATTCCCCACCACATTCAAAGCGTACAACACAAAAGTCGCTTCTAGCACCCACGAACGATTCAAATCAGACTCGGTCATGCGTGCCATCAACCTCGCTCGTGAGAACGAAGTCCTTGAAATTTTACCTTATGCATACTACTGCGTCGCGCGCGTAAGCTGCCGGAGGATGCTCAGGCACAAAGAAACAGATATCGATTGGCAGACAAAGGCTACCTGTCTCGTTGGCAGGGAACGCCTTCAATGGGCAGAGATGAGCATGTCTCATTCGTTCCTACTCGCTTTCCAGCGTTCCCCGCAGTGCCAGTCTCTGCTGTGCGCCCATGCGAGAGGACCTCATGCGGAATGGCATGTATTGGAAGCTGCAAAGGCTCCGAACCCGCTTAGGCAGTATACAAGGTGGTACCAGCTTAATGTGTGTCCCGAGTGTGTGGCTCATTGTCAGTCGGAGCATTTGAAGGGGAGGAAGGAGGTGTGGGATAAGTTGCCTGATTTCTTTGAGATGCCGACGTGGGACGAGTTGAAGTCGACATAGGATGCGTAGATGTATGTTTGGACAGGTATGTCGCTGCTTCTGGAATAGTGTATCTAATGTGTATACATACCCTCATGTAATTCTCTTTTCGGAAATTCTTTTAGATCGCTCTATCCTCGCAGGAACGAACAAGCAAGTCGATCTTCCAAATTAGTCCAGTAATTAGATCTGCCGGTTGGTCTCTTCTCTTTTGAACAGTGGATCGATTAGAAACCCAGTGAGAGACCAATTCGCTCCTCTTCCATTCGAAAGTGAATGACTCTTTACCTTCTCCAGTTCTCCGCCTCACGTTCCAAAGGAGAGTAACGAGACGATGACTCACTCTGCTCGTCCCCGTCCTCTTCTTTTTTTCTTTCAACCGCGAGACGGAAGATGTGATCAGGATGTGATGGGAAAAAAGCAATCACATAATAACGACGGGGGCAATATGAGATTGGATGCTGATGTCGTCAATACCCACATATCTCTTCTGTGCCATTCTGTTCTTTCTCAAGAGTAGCTTCGACGGCAAATCCTAGGTGGATAATTCGCAATGATCAGGTGTGTTGACTGGCCGCTTCCCTTTCGAGTCCTTGATCTGACTGGAAACTTAGCGTATTTGATCCTTATATGCGCGTAATCATGTGTGTAATTGGATTATGGAAATCCTTCTCTAGTAATCTTGTTCTCGATACCGACCACGAACAACGAAAAAGCAAGTCGAATACAGGTCTTCCTGACTTAAAGTCCGGGCAAATAATTCATTGATCCAAAACGAAATAAAAGTCCCTCACTTCAAAGCGCGCAATTTCTCAATCACGTCTTGAATATGCGGCTGGTTCCACTCTCCACTCCAGCCTTGTCTCCGCTCCTTCCGAATCACACCTCCATTAATTTCAGGAGGAGCCAAGTGGGTCGGGTCAACAGTGACCAATTCGCCCCTCTTCCATTCCAACAACTTGCCTCTCTTCCATTCTAGCTCTTTCCTTTCACAATCCAGATCGTCTACCATTTCTCCCAATTTCACCCCCTCGCCTTCCGAAGGAGAGTAACAAGAAGACGACTCGCTCTCGTCATCTTCCTCTTCCTCTTCTCCCTCCTTCTCGTCCTCGTCCTCGTCCTCTTCAACCACAAGGCGGAATGGATGTGATGGGAAAGAAGGGTAATCGCAAACTGGCGAAGGGGGCAAGCAAAAGATGATGGGAGATTGGATGGTGTCGTCGTCAATACCAACCGATTTTCTCTGCGCCGAGCTGTTCTTCCTCTGAAGTAACTTCGGCCGCGTATCCTTCGTCTCGCGCTGAGATTCCGTGGCCTTGCGCTCCATCGCCTTCGCCTTCTTCGCATGGAGCCACTTGACCTCCCTCCGAACCTCCTTCCTCAAATCCGGCAGCGATTCACTGGAAGTTAGCTGACCCGGGCGATGTGAAACGCCGTAGTCCTCCGATTTATTCTGAGGGTGAGACTGTCCCTTCATGTAAATGCCCGGTTTTGAAAACCGTAAGCTCGGCTTTTTAGTGCGAGCCTGGTACCAGGGGCAAGGGGGCGGTTCGGTGGAGGTGTCGATGGAAGACTGTTCCGAGAGGACTACCCAGTCTTCATTGATATTGCTGTTTCTATGGTTGGTTGTGATGGGGAGGTTCGCTATTTCCGAGTAAACTTCATGACCTAGGGTTCTGGCGAGCTTAACCATGCGTCTCCGCCGCTGTTCTTTCTCAGAGGGCATCGCGCGGTATCCCGTTATAGGGGAGATGGGTGTTAGAGGTATGCTAGGCTTGTCGAGGAGGGGTGGAGGGATGTTGAGAGATGATGACCTTGGGCGGCGCGTGCTCTTTGGCGGGGGTGCGACGAGGTTGAGTGGCGGGGGGATGTATTGCCGTTTTCCCTTGGTCATGGGATCGGAGGGAGGCTCGAAGGTAATGTCGTCGTTGGAAGTGATGTTATCTCGTCCTAATGTTTTGGAAATGATATCGTCTCGTCGTAAGAGCGTTCGGACGGGAGATGGTGTGGATAGTTCTGAGGGTGGGGGTCGAGAGACTCCGCCGTGGGATTTTAATGAGCGTAAATACTCGGAGGATGGTCTTGTAGATGTGGACTGTGTTTTCGTCCGTCTGTGAGGTTGGGCCGTTTTCGCAAAAAAAAGTTCGCTTTCCCTTGAGGACCCCACTCTCATGTCATGTGGTGAAGAAATTGAATGTGTATAATAGGCCGATGACAGTTGCATGGGAATCGAGGAGTGGGTCGGGATAGATTCGATCAATGTTTGTACTGGCAAAGGATAAGTGGTGGAAAAACACGGAGAAGAAAGAGAATGGATCATGGTTATATAGCGCTGTGCGGCGGTGATGAAGTCGTCTTGAAAAGGTCTCGTTCGCGTCAACTTCGTTAAGAAGCCTCAGAAGAAGCGCGATACCCGCGTACGGGGAGCTTTTAGTTTCGGCGTGGGCAAGGATACAATGATCCGATGTTACACCAGTGATCTACCGACCGTCGAGTTCATTGGTGCATATGTGTGTTTTACGGGGTACTATACCCGACAGGGCTTGTGAAAAAAACAGGGGAGAAGGAAACGGGATGAGAGCGAATAACAATTGCGCACTGAGTGTTCAATTCCTAACGCTTGAGCAGAAGAAGAGGCAATGGCCCGCCTTTGCAAAGCTGAATCGTCGTAGACCACAGTCATCGTAATCTCGTCATCACCAAAGGCTCCGGAGTCCGCACATCTTCAAGAGAAGGTGGGGACGCGCGATTCTACCAAACGGATCGTGCACCCAAACACAATAGCCTGGTGGACGCAAAGAGGCAATCGTCGGAAACACTTCGAAGACGATTCTAATAATTGTCGGTTCCGAGTGTCTTCCCTCTCGTAACGCGATGAATGTATTTCTCAGGCCGAACCTCCCCAACGCGCCGAAGCAAAAAAAATCCAAGTGTCTTGGAGGTAAGACGGTTGTCGTCTGTTGTCGTCTGGCCAGACACCTCCAGGCTCCAATATTTTCAAACGAAACGTCGGTCCGACTCATGATGATTACAATGATCAAAAAGTGGCCGTCAACCGACCTTGAAACAATCGACAGGGTGATAACGTCCTGGGATATCCTAGGCGTCGATCGTGGGTATATTGGATCTTCGATCACTGATCACCCTTACCAAACTTCGAAGGATGCAAGAAATTTGCAGGGAATTGTTGTTGGTGATTTGATGTTGGGAGGGTTGGGACTTGGACGGGCAAATTTAGCCTTTGTGGATGGATCCCAGGTCGATACAGATGACAAATGGACTTGACGACTCCAGGAAGGCAGAAACTATACTTCGAACTACGGTCTGGGTCGATCTCGTGGTTATTGTATGATTCTGGAAGAGTGGAAGCGTTACCCTGGGTGCGGTAGACGGCAGGCGGGACGAGTGCGCCCACATTTTTCAGTCTGAGTACGGGAGAATGGGGACAACTTGGGGAGCTGGCGGAAGCTGAAGTCCGTATATTTTCGACAGTGTGAGTTGTTTTTTTCGACGAAAAGGCGTGAATATCAGCCTTGGTGTTCTAGAAATCCGCCTTCCTAGCGTAGCTGCTGCGATCGCAACGTAGAGGTAAAAGAAGCAAGGGAAGGAATATCGGATTGTGACGCTGCGACTGTAGTGGCCCTCCCCCGCATTTTGTAATAGGGATGGGCCACTTGGAGCGTGTCATATGTCAAGTTCCACGAACGGCTAGAAATGACCTTGATGGGTTTTCCTGCGTCACACTCATCCAAGGACGTGCGCACGAATCCCGTCTCCGCTTCAGGATCGGGCAGACCCTGGAGATCCTCAACCTTATTGCCATAGAAGAAGTAGAAGCCCAACGTTGTCTATGTGGGCACTGCAAGATCTAGAGGCGGCTGTGGAACGCAAGATTCCGAGAATCTGGAGGAACACAAGAATATTGGTCACTTTGTTAGAATCCAGAAGCGCACTTCCCGGAGCCCGAGATCAACGGCAAGTCCCAACTATATACAACGCGAACCATGGGAGGACACCCGCTGGTGAATTCGGTGGGTTGTTGACGTTTACTCTTCAGCCCTTAGTCGATGAACTGGTGGCCGATGTAGTTTGGTGTTTAGGGAAATTGGAAGGGTGGTGAAGACTGTCGGGCGGCCCAATTAACGCCAACCCGTCTCCTTTACATGTCCGCGTAATCGACTGCGAATTAATACCTGATTGCGAACGCGACGTGATCTTCAGATCAACTTGGTGAAAAAGGGGGAGTCGTAGGGGTGACAATGAGAGGATAGGGATGCTGACGTGCCCAAAGCGACAACGATGAGGGTGAAGGTGGTAGTGTGGAAGGGTGAAGGCGCAATACAAATGATACGATGGTCGTAGACCTGACTATGACGATCGGAGCCAAACGCTGATAGAGACGGATTAGGTAGGCATTGGACGATGGAAGGACGACAATGAGCGTAAACAAGGGGTACTTGAGAGAACCTACCTCCAGCAACATATGGATTTCGTATCATTCTGCTATTCCTTTTTCTACTTCCTTCGCGAGTGGCGATCCTTCCTGCAATAGTCAACGCAAAGGCATCAGGAATCTCGGTGGATGGGTGCTTACGGAGTCGAATAGGTGTCTCGTTTAAAACCATAAAAGGGCGTAGACACCCGCATTACAATTTCAATGAGATACATCCCTCTTGGGCTCAACTTGAGCTTCGTGAAAGAGTTGAGATCAGCTCATTTGTATGCTGCCCTAGGCCTCGAGTTTCTGACAAGAAGTCAAGATACGAATCCTCAGGCCTCAACTATCAAGGTCTTTAGATGAAGATTTGGAGCACGCAACGGCAAATCTTCGGGGATTGGGGGAGATGGCGTCCATCAAGCGTCCATTATTCGAAATAGCGCCCAAACAGTGATCAGAAATGTTTTCCCACCCCTGGTTCTTCGTTGCACAATTTTCCTGTCACCTCTGGCCGCTCTTTCATTATAAATCTGAATGATCTAATCGGCCCTCCTCCAATTACCTTCGACGGAATTTTGGACAGCACGATTGAAACGCGTTGGTGACCTGCCCGACGGTTCGTTCCACTTCTTGTGTTCACCTGAGGCTGCTGGGAGTTATCGCTAGGAGCATATGACGTATCCACCTCCAGGTGCCTGCATTTTGCGCTTTACTTCCGCTCGCGCCATGCAATAGAACGAAAAAAAATTATGTCATCGCTCTCATTCATAAAGGCTTGAACATATAGGTTGAAATCTATCCACCTGGGATCCACGGCTGCTATCAATTTAACGTCATCTTCATCATTGGGTTTCCCTCACCTACACCATCTTTGTCTCGCTTAAGGACTGAGAAATCCCCCAAACCTCAGCCGTAGACTTTTACATTGCTTACCACGACTTCCAGTGAGTAAATTTACAACTTTTAATTGTGGCAGCAACGAATTTGGTATACCTATGCTAATGTCAGGAAAGGTTAGTCGTGGGATCTGGATATACGAGGTGAAACTCAGACGAACGGTGTGTCAGTCAATTCAACTTGATGCCGCATAACATTCTATGCCTTTTGTTCTCAGTTCGCCCAAGGAGCACCCGAGCAATGGTGAGTTTGGACAGCAGTGAGGGGGGGTGGTGAGGCAAAATGTAAGTAATGATCACCATTTCCTGCAGAAAATGAGATGCGAGTCGTTTTTTGTGGAGATGTGGTTGGGTGGCCACCAGATCACGGTGCCAGGATGCTCGTTCTCCGCAAGGCCACCCCATCCAAATCGGGCATACCCGAGGCCACCATTGCCGTTCGTTTAGTGGCCCCCATTGTCCCCATGCCACAATTTTCTCGTTGACGCGGGATAACACTCGGCCACCGTGCCTTGCCATCGCCTATAAAATGACTTGCCCTATCTGTGACAAACTACCCACACAATCTTTCCCCCTCACCAACTTCAAAATTAATTTGAATGTCTATCATCAAGCCCTATCCCCTCTCCGCCACGTCGAGGGTCTTGTTCTGGGTCCCAAGTAGAGAACCAGACTTCGCTGACAGCCTGACGATACGCCCCCCTTCACCAACCTCATCGCTAAGGGCCTGCTTTGTTCGTTCGAGACCAACCTCGCTGGCCTGGGGGTCTCAGGACGATTTCTCCAACCTCAATTTCTCGCAATTCGCCATGCCACCGGGATCCGACTCGCCTTCCTCGAGCACAGACAGTTTCCACAGCGCTATCTCTAGTTTTTCGTCTATGGACTTTGAGGGGAATGGCGCGAACACTGGCTGTGTGGTGGTTGAGCCTGTCAACCAAGTGGACGACATTGCAAAAGGGTTGAAAGAAGCGCTTCATCAGTTGGGCCGGACCCGACGCAGATGTTACAGCCACTCTGATGTCCATCCGACATTCACGTCGGCGGCGAGCAGGTGCACTCTAACGCCGTTGAAATTTTTGGGGCGATCTAGAACTCAAGCTCGTACCGCGGTCCCTTGCACGCCTACTTCTACCGGCCATGATACTGAGGTAGAGACAGACATTATAATTGTCGACAAGCAGGGGAATAGGACGACTCGTACCTGGAAGGGTCTCAGGAAAGGTGTGTCGAGCATTTTGACGAGGAAGGAAAGCGTCTCTTCAAAGCCGAAACTCGACGACTCTGCCACTCCTCCTGCTTCTGTAAAGAATGGGCGTTCGAGACCCTTCATCTTCACTATTAGGCGTCGAGGCACTATAGGTTCCACTCCTGCTCAGCCCTCTTCCTCTATCGACACTTCCCCTTCTACTTCCGATCCTCCTAGACCACGTCGTGTCCTTGCTAAAAAAAAGAGGGTTCACGCGCTTAAGCTCGCTACCGCAGTGATGGAGCCACCCGTAGTTGATCCCACATCACAGGTGCCCATAGCCTTACTCGAGGGTGCAAAGCGCGCAGAACTCCCAACACAGGCCGTCATGACACGCGCAGACCTCCGCCGCTCCCGCTGCCGTTCTCGATCGCTGTCGTCCTTACGAATCAGGCCCGACTCATTTTTCTTGGGATATGGTTGTGAGGGCATGGATGAGGGCATGGATAAGGAAGCGGCGGAGGCAGTCGTTGATATAGCTACCATAATGGGTGGGGCGTGTGTGTGGACATATGAGGCCTATCGCTGAAGAATGATTGGTCTACTGGGCCAAGATACTTCCTTTCCTTGGCGATTTTTTCTCGTCGTACCCATGATTATTATTCTCTAGTTTGATATGCCTTATGCCTTATGCCAATCGCGGACACCTATGTATACTTTCACTTATTCTTATGCATCCCCCCTTTATCTCGAATGTCAGCATGCAAGCCGTTTGACGTGGACTGTCATGCGACTTTTCAAACATTGCGGCGAGCAGAGCCAGCTTCTCGTAAACAGTATCTCCGCGAAGATCGCATATCATTTGAGGTGTTACAGACATCGTCGAGAACTCAGAAAAGTACAAAATACAGTGGTCAGGAACACCAAAGGTCAATGCTCCGTTTCCTCCCAAGTTCTCCCAACAGTCTTCACCAAATCCGCCTCCGTCACTTGCTTCCCGCTCGAGAAATACCCAGCTGCGATCTTCGCATCGATCTCTACGCGAGAGTCGGGTGGGATGAGATGATCTGTTTGAAGACTTCAGCATCTTATACGCAGATGAAAAGTTCGAGGAAACGTACCGGGGATATCATATCGTTTCAGGATCGGGATACCGCTCTTTACAATGGCGTCGTATTTCCTGATATGCAATATTAGCCAGTAAGAGGGGCGATAAGGGAGTGACACATACATATCGCTCATAGAAACCATATTATCCACCTTCTGAATCCCCAACCAGTGTAGCACGTCGGGCATGAGAGCTTGGAACCGCATATCCTTCACGCCAGCAATCATTTCAGTCGATTTGAAATACTTGTCTGCCGAATCACCGCCGCGTTTGCGCAAGTTGTAAACGAGATACCTGGAGCCGTGAGGTTGGGAAAAAGGAAGATAAGAGGGGAACGACGTACTTGGTTACTTCACCAAGAGCGCGGCCTTCTTTGCGGAAGTAGACAACAACTCCGACGCCACCTGTAACGCAAAGTCAGATAGCAGGACAATGATGATAGAAATTGCTTGCCTTTCTGCGCGCAACGGATACACTCTTCGATTGCGTATGTCAGGTAAGGCTTGCAAGTACATATGTCGGAGCCGAAGACGTCAGAGCCGTTACCTGATGAAAGGTGTCAAAACGCATGTGAGAAAAGAATTCAGTTACAAACATTCGTCGTGAACGCGCAAAGTGAGCTCTTTGCTCTGATCGGACATGAAGGCAGGGTTCCCGACTATATTGATGCTTGAGACAAAGATTCGGGGAGAGGAACAAAGGAACATACATATGTAAACTGTAAGGCCTCCGATTGGAGGTAGGAAAACCTTGATGTCAGGACGTGTAACGAGTTCAGGGTACATTCCTCCCGTGTCTTCGAAGAGTGCTCGGCGAAGAAGAGCCTCTGAGCTATTCAATGACTTCAGAACGAGTAAAGACGAAAAGAGACGATGACATACATTCCAAACCGTTCAGCCACTCCAGGAAGGTACCACACCGGTTCAACCGCGGCCTTACTAACCGTTGCCTCCACTCCTGGATACGCATCACTCGGAGTCCCATCCACATTCATCACCGGTCTACTCTTCAAGAGGATTGAGCCATCTACCTCAATATCACCCTTTCTGGCGGCGTCATCCAACTCGCTCATCTTCAAGTGAGCCTTGGTGACGGCGATACTCGGCCTGATATCCAAGCCACTTTCGACCTCTTTCGCAAAGACGCTGGGAACGAGATGGCCCCAAGGATCGAACGAGACGATTTTGGATGGATCTGACCATGTGGGATTGGGTGGAATGTCGACGGGTGGCTCTGTCTGGGAGTAATCTGGTTTATGGGTGGGGTTAAGAGTGCCCATGGCAATAGAGAGGGCGCGATAGATGGAGTAAGACCCAGAGTGGGCGCCAATGGCATTGCGCTGCTTGATGCTGGACGGTAGGCGGGAGCAAATGACCGGTCCACGCTCTATGGAGTTCTCTACACCCCAATGGAGAGGATGTGGCGCAATTCCGTGTTGATCAGGATAAGCTGGAACCGAGTTAGAGTATTTGTGAGGTTGAAATTACAGCTATGACGTACTAGTGAGGTTGACACGGCCTGGATACAACAATTTCTCCCGCACCTTGTCCGTCAGAGGTGCTGACACTGGGGTGGATGCCGTGCGAGGGGTAGCCGACGCTAAAGCCACACGTTGGGCGATAGGTGATGTTGGTGATGACGGAGTAGAGCTAACCGACTGTGCGTCCGACACAGACCGAACGTGCGTGCTGATCTTCGGTTCGAGAGGGGTTGAGCCCTTGCCACTAGAGATGGCGTCCAACTTCAATTCACAATGGTTAGCGATGGCCAGGAATTCGTCCTGAGTGATTCCAACTGCTTACCTTGGCTTGCATCGCCTGCTGCGATACTTGCAGGGACTGCAGCTGCGCAAGGATCTGGGTCAAAACGGCGTCGGAGACAGACATATTTGAGGGGATGGTATAATCCGGGGAAAAGGAAGGAAGAAAGAAAACATTTCCGCTGTGGCTTTTGTACGTTTTGGTAACGAGGAAGAGGTGAGGTTAGTCGGAGCTTGTTTCGGAGCTATGTCTTGGCCATTATGTCAGCACGCACAACACATGACCTTATGACGTCACGCGATGGTAAGCAATGGAGGGAAATCGGCTTTCTCACCGACAATCACCAGCAGAAACTATACTTTTTGGCGCTCTGTTGTGCAATTGTTGTTCCAATGTTGTCCAAGATACCTTTCAGTTGTAATTTGAGCCGTGGGCGGAGCTCCTTGACAGGAATTTGTTCCTATAAGTGATATGTCGGACATACAACTAAAAAGGGACTCAAAAGGGACTTCTTCCTTGCTATCACTACTTCATCTGTGCTTCAGTGAAAAAGAAGCCACATTGGTGCCATGAAAGTTGACTAGGACGCGATTATGTACGATATCACGGGTGGGACATTTTGCAGTTTTTCGCCGTTCCTCATCACCACAGCTACATCCTAACCGTGGACCTTCTCTGTAGCGGCCGAGACTTGACACGAAATGACGTCCGATTCGCAGACGCATGTGGCCGGGACTTGTAGTCGGTCTCACTGGCAGGGAACATCACCATAAACATTGATAGTTGGCATCTGTAAACGGGTCTTCAATGCATTACGCATTATAAGAACGTTAACTATACCGGCATCTCTCCAAAAGCCACACAACCCTACCCCGAAAACCAGCTTGAAAAGAAACCTATTACATAAACCGCCCGTCAGTCCCAATCAATGCTGTATTCTAACATACGGCAAGTATCACGAGCAAAGTACAACAAGAGCTGAACAACAATGAGATGTATATGTACGTGGTATGTGCGAGGAACCAAAAAGGGTAGGAAGGAGAAATAAAAGAAAGAAGAAAAAAAAAGGGGAAGAAGATACTAACGTCTGCGTTTACTTCCGCCAGAATTCGACACCTTGGGCTCTGGCTTCGAATGGGCGTTAGCCTGCAATGCCCTAGTCAGTGCCGAAGGTGAGCTCTGAGCGTGCTCCTTGACAACCGGAGTGGGAGGGAGGTTCAACTTGAGGGGCGGCTGACGCACTATCAACCCGTCCTCCCCATCCCCCCCTCCATCCCCCCCCTCCTCATCTTCCCTATCCCGTTCATCCTCTACGTTCACATCAACAGGCTTCATGGCATCAATCTCATCAACATCCAACGCCGCTCCAGCCCCACCAGCCCTCTTCCTCTTCTCCCTCGATCGAGATTTCGATCCCGTCGCAGAATCTCGACTCGATGTACGGCGCTGAGCAGCTACCCTCTCCGCCTCCTCCTGCTCAGCCCGCCTGATAACGTCGATCTCGCCTTGCACGACGATACCGTCCAGCCAGTTGTGGTGGATGAGCTCGGAGGCCTTGGCGCGTTTGTCGGGGTGCAGGCGGAGCATGGGCGTCAGGAAGGAGGCGAGCGAGTCAGCGTCGGTTTTGGGGAATAGGTATTTGTCGTTAAGCACGGCTTCTAGTGGCCAGTATCGTAGTTTGTTAATGTGGCGGAGTTCTCCTGTATAGCCATGTCAGTTACATTGTGCGATGGTGAGCTTGGAGACTTGCCTTTGCGGTTGAAGAACTCGGAAGAGTACTTGCCGGAGAATGCGATGCTTTTGGGTATCTCACCCATGAGTTCCATGATTTGGGCGATGTGGTCGTCGTCCTTGCTGTAGCGAGAGCCAGAGGCGGGATCGAATAGATAATCCCCACCTGTGATCAACTCGAAGATCTACGAGGAGGTCATTACACGAGCAGGTAAGACGTTGGAGAACGACATACCACGCAGGCTACGCTCCAGATGTCAGCGCTAGTTCCCCATTTAGCGCCGAGGATGACTTCGGGACAGCGATATTGCCTCGTCTGGATATCGTCCGTGAAGTGGTGCTCGATCCAGGTAGCTGAAGAGAGACGTCAGCGGACGAAGATGACCGAAAAAAAAGCGGGGAAGTCTCACCATTTCCAAGATCAGCTATCTTCACCGTTATCCGTTCATTGGTCTCCAAAGCATCCTCCAGAGAATCATCCTCCATGGCTTGGGATTTCCCTGGTACAGGAAGAGGGCGGATGGACGAGGACGTGACCATAGGCGCCTGCTGAGAGAGGAGAGAGGGGCCTGGAGCGCCAGGGACACGTCCCACAAAAGACCCCGCCCTGGTATCGAGTGAGACATTGCCTACCTCCGCTGCGAGATCGGCAGACTCAGGCCGTTTAAGCGTCGAGAGGCCACTTTTCTCTGGGGACGCTTCCTCTCTGTCGATCTTGCTCATACCGAACGCCCACTTATCCAGCATGGGGCTCGAACCGAAGGATGAGGAGGGGGAAGGGAGGGGTTGAGAACCTGTGATGAAGACGGATTCTGACCTTGGCGTTTGGTTACCGCCGCGACCTTTGGAAGGTGGGACGCCGACGAGCTTGGTGGTCGGGGAGCTGGCGGTGTTGGAGGATGCGAGTTCCGCTTGGATGATGGACTCGACGTCGTCGATGCATATTAGGACGTTCTCCGGTTTCAGATCTATGAGCGATATGTGAGATTGAGAGGTGGATGGTGAAATCAAGGCTTACGGACCTGTATGTATGACGCCACAACATCTGTGCATGTAGTCAAGGCCAAAGAGAACCTGCTTCGCGATTTGCTTGACGAGTTGTATGGGTACGCCTTTGTTTTGATGGCGTTTGATGAGGCCGAGTAGATTCTCCCCCAGCACCTCGAATACCATACATACGTGGGTACCGTTGGGCCCTTTGTGCTTAAAGTGATCGAGAAAGCCGATTACATGAGAACGTCCGGGATGGGTGTGCGATGGCGATGGGGGCGGGTTGGGCTTTGACGACGTGGGGGCGACTGGAGGTGTGGACGACGTGATGAGTCTCTGGAGTAGTTTGATCTCGTCTAGGGCCGTTTCTGTGTATCGTGGGGCTGATTTGACAACTTTAAGGGCTACGTGTCGGTTCATTCTAATTAAACAGGAATCACAGAAGACAAGTGATTAGATTACGATATCGCGGTCTGATGAGAACGAAATACGCACTTTGTATCATTCGCGAGCCACACGGTGGAGAAATGGCCCCATCCGAGCTTGCGTACGACGACGTATCTCCCCTCTGAAAAGGTGTCTCCAATCAAGACAGGATGGTAACCGCCCTGGACGTAGTCTTCCCAGTCCTCCTCGTCCTCGGTCATGATGGAGGCAGAATGCGAAGAATATGAACCGTGAGACATCTTTGCTGATATTTTTGAGTTTTATCGAGACTTCCGTAACGGCTACGGGAAGAGGAAAGATAAGGACAGCCAACACTCGGGGCGTGCCAGAGATAAGCCTTGGTTACCCTGTTTAGGCAAGAGTTCTACGCCGGGGAAGGGATCCCGTTGACAGTAAGCAATGTACTTGTTCCGGGAGGGATAGAGCTGACAGCGAGCAAAGGGGTCTTGGGATCGTGGTGTACGATGAGCAAAGAAATTAAAGCTGTTGAACGATGAACCGATGATATTTGCAGTTCATTATGTAAACGAAGTCCCAGAATGGAAACTGTATAAAAGATGCCATGTGATTGGCCCGGATGAATATCTTTCGGATCATTGAAAGATATTACAATTACTATCCTGGAACACCTCGGAACAGAATAGCAGTAAGTCCCAGCTGTGCCAGGACCCTGGAAAGTCATGTTGAATGCCTGATCCCAAAATCGTGAATTTTCCCAATTTTCTTCCGGATATGGGATCAGACATAGGAATTTCCCAAAATTTATCCGGACATTACCTCAGGCATGATTTTTTTTCGGCTGCGCAGGCAAGGTTCCTGGCACCCAAAGACCTTGAATTTCGATGTAACACGTCATACCTAATCATTTTCGTCTTCATCTGTTCCCATTTCAATTAATTCACTCAAAATGGGGGAATATTGGGGGAATATATTCACTTTGTCCCATTTTTATCCGGACTGAGATCAGGCCCCCCTTGGCTTAGGCAGTTTTTATCCGGACATTCAGCTCAAGCATTTGTCTAAATTTCTTCGATTTTCCTCCGGATAGGCCTGAGGCCTATCCGATTTTTTTTCAAAATTTCCTCCGGATACGGATCAGGGATTTGATACCAATTTCCTCCTGCTGTGCCCAGGTTGGAGAAACTCTCGATCTTGTTGTTTATTTCTGGTGGCAGTATCAAACACTTCGGTTTATTTTTTCCCGCTTGGCACAACTTGGCGAGACCATAAGGTAGCGGACAGCCATACCTCGCTATCTTGACAGTGCTAGGCTCGGCGCTTGTTTGATAACGAAATTACAGCCCCACATTCGGCGGCAGAAGGGTCGCAATACCCCACACCGTCCGGCTTGACACGCACGTTATCTGATTTCTTCCCTTAACCCCATCCCTAATTTCCACAGTCATCTCAAAAGACATCGTCCTCATCTGATAAATTTATCACGAGATCCTCTCTCGATAACATGAAAATGTAGCAGTTCAGCAACATTATCGCCCAAACATCACCATACCACGTGTCAACCACGCGTCAACCAGCGGATGAGGAGGAGGTAAACGGCGCAAGCCGTAGACCGCTTGTGCATGCTCGTACATGCCTTTTCTCCGCCTGACGTATTTTCGAGACGGTCTCTCTGTCAATTACTCAACCTCCGCTAATCAAAAGTGGCCCGATGTTGCTCCTCAATTGTGACCGGAACAGATGAAAACGACGTCAACACGAGGCTTTTCATCACTCAAGCACCCTCCTCATTATGAGTCGTCAATCATCTTAATACCCCGCACCTTGCAGGGCCCCTTTCCTCCCTCACCCACCCCTTTGTTCTACGTTCAGTTTCTTATGGAGCAGTACAAGACGTCCAACGACGGCGATGTCCGGTGAGTGACGTTTTTATGCTCCATTGCCTTGATCAGCAACCCATCTCCTCATCCAGGAAGAAGCTTAGAACCCCCACAATGTCTGCCGCAAAGGCTCTGGAACAACTCGTCGCCGACGAGCTCTCTTCATCGTCACGATCATCAACTTCCAGCCGTCGTCACCACCCCGAACACCTCTCAAAACCTAACCTCCCCGAGTCCAAACTCCACTCCACTCCCCCCCCTTCCAAAAGACGTCGTAACACCCTCCCACACAACCACTTCCCCGGCTTGGACGCACTTAGAGATCACCTCAATCGCCGCCAAGATCCTGCCGATTCTTCTCCGACTGATTCACATCCGCGTCACACCCGCTCAAACCCATCTGGCGATTCTATTTCTACTCTTCTCCTCTTGACGAATGACCGCCTGACGCAGGAAACGTCACGCGCAGATGCAGCAGAGCGCCATGCGCGTCAATTGTTAATTCATCTAAGAACTGCACATGATGCCAAGGCCAGGTTGAGTCAGGATTTGTTAAAGGTGAAGACGGAGTTGGGGCTGTACAAGGCGCAGTTGGATGTCGCGCAAAAGGGTGAGTGTGGTGATACTCAACGTATATCTACCCTGATCGTGGATCAGAAATATTCAGGGCCCAAGAAATCGTCGAAACCGTTGAACGTCAACGCGTTGCCGCTGAACACCAAGCTATGAAAGATAGGGAGCGGGCTCGGAAATTATTAGAGGAAAAGGCTGTATCAGAGGCGTTGGCTGAAGGGAGACGGATGGGTTTCCAGGAGGGTTTGGAAAGGGGAAGGGTGATGGCTTTATCGGATGAAAGGAGGGGTAGGAGGGTTGAGGAAGAGATTGAAGATGATGAATCTGTGGATACTGGGGATGACGAGAGGTTTGAGGTCGTACCTTCTTCTCATCAATCTCCCGCTTCCATTCAGCCACCTTTGAATCGAGCACCTTCTGTGATGGAAAGCGTCCCGTCCGCACCAGAACGAGCTAGGCCTCCAATGTGAGTCTATGACTTGGTGATAAACTATTCTAACCTCGACCGTTAGACGTGAACCGCGAGAACCCAGCGTTACACGCTCCAGACGGGCCGCTTCAGCTGCGACGTAAGTTTGAGTCAGTTTTTGCATATTGATTCTCATTTCTGCAACGTTTTTAGTACGAGCCGTTCGAGACGGCCAAGCTCACCTACTCCGTGAGATTTACCCACTACTTTCAATTTATTCGCCATTCTGACATTTTACAAAGTGTTCAACACCATCACGTACCAGATACCGCTCGTTTCGCGCCTTCACTTCCGCGACCATCTGTCGTCAGCCCAGTTCCCATGCGCGTTCCATCAACGCAACCGCAGCCCATTCCTGAACACAATGTTAACCCATCCCTCGCTCGCTCACCAGAAGAAATTAACGTCGTCCCACGAGCACCTTCTTTCCTTTCCGCAGCGCCCTCCTTTGTCGACCTCGACGATCCCACAGCAATCCATCCTATTTCAGTACGAAACAGGAGTCCCAGCAGATCTCATCGCTCCATCGTATTGCCTCCTGACGGATACATCCCCACCCTTGGCGAGAACAACTCAATTCTACTACCCCCTCCTCACGAATTGAGTAACCCAGTCCCTCCCATCGGCGCGGAGGTCAACCAGCCAGAAGAAAGTCAAAGGGAACCCGCGACTGTCATCCGTGATTATGCCTACCCTGGTGGTATGAAGCACGGTACTGTAGGCTTCCAAGCGAATACTCGTGACGACGACGCTGCAACGGTCTTTGGGAGTATGATCCGTGGCAAAGTGCCGACAATATCAACGGTATCAATGGGATCTACACATATCTCACAGCTCGATCTTGTCAGTCCGCCACGTGGCAAGGGGAAGGAGAAGAGTAATCGTGCACGGCGAGGAGGCAAGAGCCGTGATCGTGAAAGTGAGAGTTTGGGACGGGGTGGACGGACTCGCGCGAGAACCCAGCCTGAGCAGATTGTGGAGGAGTGGCGCTCACATAATTCGGATATCCTTAGGTCGCTGACACCAAGTTCTACATCCCCCGCTCCGAAGCAGCAGAAGGGCGCCGCTTCCAATTCGGTGTATGCAGGAAGTATGAGAAAAAAGTCTGGGCAGACTGTAATTGAAGTACGCTAATTCTCCTTTTTTTGACCTTTTCGATTTCTCTCTTCTTCGTCCCTTTCAAAGTGAAGTAGCTTTGAGAAGGTTGGACAGTAATTGTCTTCTGTTTCGTTCCAATTCCTCTGTTTTAATTTATTGTGTATCTTATACTCGTTCTCATTTGAGGGTCTCTTGTTCGCTTTACATTTTAGCGCCCCAAGACGGCCGAACCTACCGCTGTGCCCCGCTCTCCACGTATGAGTGCTGGCTCGCGCCTACAGAAACATGACCTACCCCCTCTACCAAACTTTGGAGTGGATCGAGATGGTGCTTCTGTTGAGCAATTTAAGCGAGGTAGAGATGCCGCTCCCCGATCGCCTCCTCGTCGTGAAGCGCCTCGGACCATCGCGGCTCCAGAACGCGCTGTCTCCCCTAGAAATTGGTTGAGATTTAATAGCCAACGTGAAGCGGCGAACGCTACAGTTCCCAACATCGACGTCGAATCTCCGGTAGGTTCAATCAACTATATGCTTCTACGTAGTCTGACAATTCTTTTGCGCCAGTCGGTATCTCCTGCAAGCGCTCCTAGAGAGTCAGTGGTCGACCCAGTCCTTCTCAGCTCTGAGCACGCCAACAGGCCTATGACACCATCACTTCCCCCTCTACCACATCCTCGAGAGCCGTCTGACCACATATATTCTGGAATGTACTCCAATCAGACGCCTCTTCAGATACACGCCGTTCTTCACGACAACGATTTCCCTCCTGGGTTTGTACCTTTGAGTCCAATTCCCACCACGTCGAACTTTATCCCCCATCGCTCCCCGCCGATTCACACTTATGAGCCGTTTATTCCACCAGCTATCATGAATTCTGCTGCTCAGAAGAGGTCTACGGGATTTGATGTGTCGCCGGCACCTTTGAACCGTCCGATTTCACTCTTCTCTGATGTTTAGGACCTTTTGAGTCCGAGTCAGTGTGAACTTTTTCACAGTTTATGGCGTAGTTCAAAAAGAAATGATGTCCAATATTATTGTAGATGTAATAATGTAATAATATTTAGCGCAGCTCATTGTCACATGTCACAGCGAGTGACGGTGAAATTTTCGGTTGTGCAAGCCTCACTGGCAATCAACTGGCAATGACCCCTTCTACGCTGCCTTTGGTTTCTCGAGAGAGCGCCCTTTGAAGATGACTATCGCTTCTTCCCAAATTTCTACTGTGCACGCACAACGTCTCTCAATTTTCTAAAGAATAAAAAAGCTAACCCTCGATGGACCCTCGACGCCAAAGTACCAAAAACCAACCAAAAACGGCTCTGGTGCACAGTTTTATCTGGATACCCTATCATTACGATGGGATCGAGTCTCCTGTTGCCACCTCGAGGCAGCGTCTACAAGAAGAACGCACCTTGTACATAAAGCTATCGTGCCATCGGTCTCTGCGGCAAACCACCCTCCCTCGGATAACTGCTATGTAGATCGTCAACACCGATTTCCCGCGTCGGTTTTGAAGTATCAACGTCTGTGGGTGGACATTTTATTGCAGAGTTCATCTCCCTTAAGCTTTGGTGACCTCAATCCTGTCCGTAATCAGCCCACAGAACGATAGAATTTGTCCGTCATGCATCCTTCAGGAAATACTCAAAAAAATTCAACACGTTTTTTTACCCGGAACCCCAACTTTTCTCTTGCCTGCCTCGACCTCAACGACTGCGGTTACCTCCTTAGTGCAGCGCTGACGTTCAACAAATGTCTAGGTCCTGTGATGAATTCTCTGTGGTTCTACCTAGATTCAATGTTGCCACTCTTGAGAACATTCCCATGACTGAAGTTGATAAATCCGGGAAAGTAGGTGGGTCGCAACTTATCTTATCATCACAATCCGCTAAAAATCCGCGTGAGGTTAACCACGGTAACATCCAAGTAGAGGATGTTGAGCGGGTCTCTCTGATTACAGGAGGCGCATCTCCCCCTCATTCCTGAGATCCCTACGCTTTTACCTGCTAACATTTCTGCATACCATTTGCTGAAGAAGCTGATTGTCACTCCTATCTAGTTTGACCAGGAAGCAACTTTCGAGAATCAGCTGCGTGTTTCACAGTTTATCACGCAACTCTTTCTCCATGCCGCCGTAGACTTGCGTCGCACGTCCAACTCAACGGCAACTGGCTTTTGGGAAAAGGCTCAAGCTACTGTAAAGCTATTTCAAGAGGTTAGAAAGCGCACAGTTGCTTTCACTGTTAACCGCCATAAAGGCATCTCTAGATAATCTTGTGATATATTTGCGCTCATGCGGTTCTACAATTGGTATATATAAGCATCGGGGGAAAAAGGCGCAATTATGTCAGGAAGTGGAACAAAGCGTTCTTCAGCACGGCGAAAGACAACTTGTGTGTGTAACAGATGCTAGGTTTCTCTCGACCCTGGTCGACTAACTGGGATATCAAAAAAAAAAGGAAGATACTTAAGAGGGTCGAGGGTAAACGGAACGGTTTGCCTGACGTGCAGTGCCGAATTGCTCCAAAAGCGGAAGAGGTGTCCCACGACAAGACGCGAAATCAGCGATCTAACTGGAGCGAAGAAACACCACTACAACAGAGCAGGGATGTTTAATTGCATTGCGGCAGCTTATAACGATCCTGATCTTTCATCGCCCTAGTCCTGCTTTCCCCCGTAGCGTTCTCATCTGCCCCTCCCGTCTAAGCATTCACGATGCCCGACTGGAAATCAGCCGCTGAGCTCGAGAAAGATGCAGTGGCATTTGGCAAACTTGTTCATGCTCTGTTGGGATTATACGCGTGCGTTCAATTATATACTTCCACAACAACCCTAACCACGATCATAAATATATTAGATATGAATGGTTTCTGACTCTTGATTTTGACCTGGATTTTCTGCGGGGGAAGAGAAGGTTCCGGTGGCCAATGGTGTGCATATATCTCCTCAAACTTACCGTTTTTAACGCATAGTCATTTAGATTTTCTATTTCTCCAACAGATATCTTCTCCTTTTCGCGCTGATAGGCATGTAAGGGATTACGGCTTTCTTCGGCTATCGTCTCGCTGACGGTCTTTGACAATGACAAGCGTGATTTCTTTGGACGTCACTTCGGAGGTTCACTGTCAGGTGCTCTATACTTTTAACCAGATCGCAGGAAACGCTGCTATGGGGCTGGCGAGTATCAATCTTTCTATCCGAACGTTTGTTGCGTCCTTCATCATTTTTCGCTGGTAATTGAACTGCGTTTAAGCATGGCGATATGGTCACAAAATAAATATATTGTTGGCTTCCTCGTTCTTATGATCTTTGGACATTGGTCGTTGATTCTACAAGGCAAGGATTCTAATTGCAACTTTCTGTTGTTTTCTGATTTTTCATCTTCATCAGGAGTCCAACTTCGAGCAACCTGGGTTGATAGTGTTGGATGCGTTATCACCCAGACTAACAACACCGTCCTTGCAGCGACCTTCATTTATTCGATGTGCTTCGATTTCATCGTTCTCCTCTTGAGCACCTACAAACTCATTGGCGTCAACTGCAAGACAGTAAATTTTGTCGGTCAAAGTCACCTTGTGCAAATGTTATTTGAGGATGGACTAATCTTCTTTATGATTGCGTGAGTCAAGATCGCAGCGTACCTATCGCATAACACTCATGTTTCTTTTTAGCTTCCTTGTTAACCTATGCGCGACGACGTTAATTTTAAACAATCTCAACCAGGTCATGACGATTATTTTTAACGTGCCGGCAGTCGTCGCCGCCTCCGTTTGTTCTTTTATATCTCCCATGCTCCCATAGCTGCTCTGACCAGACCATCGCTTCAGATTGTCGCCTGCCGAGCAGTTCGTCGGTTAACAAACTTCGGCCTCACAGGCGGTCTCGAAGTTTAGTAGGTATCTTCCTCTTGCTTACTACGCATCTCAATTATAAATATTTTTATTGCAGTGGATCGTCGAGCGCAGTCAGTGGTGCGGCTGGAACAAGAAGTATTCAGCCCACTATCGACCATCGTAAAAGTGGTCTGAAGTCAGGCGTCCATGTTCAAGTGCGCGTCCGTGCAATTTACCAGAGTTCATTGACTCACTCGACCACAGATGGAGACATTCACTCATAAAGAAAGCTCTCTCACCTTCGCCAAGCAGAAGTATCGGACCGGTAGCGAAACCGACGTCGAGCCTGAGCTCGACATCGAAGCCAAAGGAAGTCTGTAACTTGACCCTTTTCCCACACGCTCAAAATTGCCCAATCATCCTACCTAGAGAAATGTATGGATAAAAATTAATTCAATTAGTAACTGGACTATTTGACATTCAAATACCGAAGATTCGCTTTCGCCTGCCTTTCCTTGAAAATAAATTTATCCCTTACTGCGTAGTACGCGTACATCGGCGGTTGAACTGTAGCGTATTCATCAATCTAGCCCAGATTTGGCCCTTGTGGGACTAGAGTCCTTGAAATCGGGGATGCGGAAAATGCGGGCCGTCTGACCAACGCGGGGAAACTCCGGAGCAGGGTTGTTGAACGTTGAACATTGAACGTTGAGCCCGTCCATCGTCAATCGGACGTTGAATACTTTACGCAAGAACACGAATCTCTTCTCGCTGAAAAGAATTCACAACTCAACATATTCAGAACCAGGGGATATTTTGAAAAGTACAAGCCAATCAGTATCGTCAAAAAGGAAAAAAGGGGAGCGCTCATTTTCAAAAATTTCAAATCTCTCAATGTGAGGCGAGATGTCTACTTTTAGGAGTTCAGGACAGCGGAAGTATGAGTAAAATTACACTCAACACGCTCCTGACCTTCGGGTGCCGATGAGTCTAGAAAAGCGAAATCCATTTGTGTGATAGAGAGGCGCATCGTGGTGAGATAAATTGATAGTTCTCCTAAGGAGAGTCGAGCCGGCCAATTCAACTGCGCGTTAGCGAAGACCGCATGAGATTTGCATGAGATACATATACGTATGCAAAAGAAATTGGGGATAAAACTCGAATATACATATGCGACACTCTGACATAGAATTAGTAAGCTAACGCAGGTGAAACGTAAATAATATAGAAGTGTTCTTTGAGTGTTCTTGGAAGTTTTCCCTTTACATAACTGTATCAACGAAAGGCTTCGAACGGATTTACTCACACTGGCATCGTAAATAAAGCTTGAATAAAAATAATTACTCTCTCTTCAAGCCGTAAAACCCAGTGAAAACCGGCTCTGTTCTCAGCCGCAAGTATCTGCGGATTCCCGGCAGATATCGGAGATCGTCGGCAGAGCAGAAAGGCGCTGGTAGACTGGGATTTCGTCCCTTTTGCGGATTTTTTTCCGCGAGGCTCCGCCTTGAAAGTCACCATTTTGATACAAATGGCCGAAATTTCTGCTTAAATCGGTTCCTTTCCGCCTGCACCTGCACTTCGCGGTCGTTGTCTGTAGCTGGTGAATATTTTGTATTGATTCAGAAATGTGCTATATTCCGTTACTATCTGCGATTCCCAGTACTGAAACCATCCCCATCCACATACCCCCGCGCCGCTGATAGTCAGAACGGCTCATAATTCTCATCCACGACCATCCGTCCCTTCGACTGACAAGGCTCTACCCCGAAGCGGCTGTGTATGGGGATGGAACACGGAAGGAAGGATATTAGTTTGCGAGCTAGCGCTAACCTGGACTGAAAAGTTACGCACCTTGGTAAATGCGGCGCCGCCGAGCAGGATTGAGCAAAAATAGGGCGCATATATGCATGATAAATGGTCAGAACTTTATCTAACTGTGCCAAAAAACTACTCACCGAGATGTTATTGTGTGAGAGAACGCGTACGGCCGGCTTGTCTACATGAAGGTGAGGATTTAGTCATTTGAACAACAAGGCACTTACGGCGAATCAAATGCACGATTCCCACCACATCGAACTCCCATGATGATGTACCCTCATTGTTCTGATACGTCCACAAGGGGCTTGCCGAGGGATGCGCGCAGCGCGGAGCGATGTTGGAAGTCCTGCAGTCCTGGAAGACAGAATGAAGGGGAAAGTGGGGGAAGGAAGGAAAGAGAAATGGGAATCATTTGAGGGCATCTGATATATATAATCACCCAGCGTCGACTTGCAAACAGAGTTTTGAATGGAAAGAAAGAATTTTGTTGTAAAACAGGTTGGTGTCGAGTCGAAAAAAAGTAAGTAACGCTGTGGAAAGAAGTCCGTGTTCGGTTGATGCCGAAAATCACAGTCAGGTGCGGATTCTCGCCGATTTTGTCCTCCGCCATCGATATCTGCGGAACGGTGCAGAGCCGGTTTTCACTGGGCGTAAAACGCCGCTCCCAATGTTTCTTGCTCGTTTTTTAGTTTGGCGACAAATTAAATGTTCAAGGCATTCTGTTTGAACTAGTAGCTTCGGTGTCTTCCGGTGTGACATCATCGACATCGCTGGAAAGCAAACAACGTAAAACAAGCGCAAGCTAGGCTAAAACTTCACTGGCATCTTCAAGTTTGCAATCTTTTTTCAATCTCTCCGAACACACTTCTTTGTTAAAATTCATATGGTTTTCTCAAATACCCAAGATTCAAGCGACGATAGAGTCAGGATTAAACCCCGGAAGCGCAGTATCTGAGGGCTCGGACAAACTTTTAAGCGGGGCCCTCACACGGTTTCGGTGCGACTGGACCTCTTTTCCGCTGCGTGGACTTGGAGAGGGTTTTTGGCTTCCTACATGCCAGTGGATACCCTCTGGCGAGACCTCGGTTCTCTTCTCCCCGCCTTGCGCCTATTTTCACACGTCGACTGGTCTTACGTGAGATATCTCCTCCCAATTATTACATTTTTACTGCAAACTTGTCGTCGGTCCAGGTAGACGATTGGTTACGCCTGGATAAATACGCGTGTTGCGCAAGAAGCTTGACGCTAGGAGATGACTCGACGTTTTGAAACTTTCATCGAACCCGTTGCTTTCCGCATTGGGTCAGCTGCGGATTTCAATGTCAATCTTCACCGACGTGTAGAGTTCATTCCTGCTGCCAACCCCTCTTAGCGTCCATTAAAATTGATATCGGTACAGAAAGCGCAGGGTCTGTCTCATGAACAGCCATAATTATCTCACCTCAGTCTTCGTCGCGCCGACAAGCCGCCTTTATCAATAGTCAACTCCTTAACGCCCGTCCTTGAGATGGTATCTTCGCGGCTACACTTTCGTCTTCCCACCTCTTCCCGGCGCTTCCGCGTCCATACGCGTCGAAGGAGAAGGCCCTATCATTCTGCATTGAACGAAATGCCTAGGCATCGTTCGTTCGTTGACGGTCCTCGAATTCATCGTCTATCTGGATCGGACGGTTTTACTAAAATTGGAAGGCTCTTCCACTGCGACATCACGCTTTGGGTTTTGCTCCTCGCGAAATCAATACGCTCCCTTAACATCCACAGTGATCCCGCCACCCAAGCGAGCGAACTTTTTGCCGTCTTTCTAAATCCCAGTCTAGCCGAGCTTGAACACCTCGAATTTACAAAATTTACAATCTCTGCTGGAGAGAATATATTCAAGAGTTTACGTTGTCACCCTCCCTCTTAAAGCTCTCGCCCGAGGAGGCCAAAAGCTTCCTTCGCCAGCCGTCCTCCCGAAATCTGTCCCAAGTTGGAACACCTGCAAATTCATGTGAACAATACTTTTGTTCCCAAACTTCCGGAATCCTGTCGCTACCCCATCCTCACTATTGGAAGCTGTGGTTTCGAAGCGACAATTGATCTGATCGCGACTTCCTCATACCTTCATTGCCCATTTCCTCGTCTCCACACCGTTCAACAGAATGACTCTTACGATATCGAACAACGGGGATATGTGGACCTTCTGCTGTGGGAATTTCAAATCGATACCTACGTGTGTCTGGAGTTGACATGAAACACAAGCTTATTTTTTACAAGTTTCACAATTCAGTATGTCGAGGATTTTTCGGCGGGCTTGGTCGAGTAAAACGCGGAGGTAGGGAGACGTGCGCGATGCGGCCTAGAAGTGTCACTGTCTGGAGAAGCTATTAAGCATGTACATGTGGGGGGGGGAAATTAAGCGAGCCATGCACCTGTCGAAGTTCCTCGATGTCTTCTCTGCGATTGGCTCTTTCCTTCTCAAACTGCCGCTGGAGCTCCTCCCGGGCGCCAGTCTCCTTCTGAAACTGCTGGCGGAGCTCCTCCAGGGCGCCAGCCTCCTTCTCGAGCTGCTGGTGGAGGTCCTCCCGGGCGCGAGTCTCCTCCTTGAGGTCTTCTCTGCGATCGGCGCTCTCCTTCTCAAGCTCCCGGTGGAGCTCCTCCAGGGCGCCAGTCTCTTTCTCAAGGTCCCGCTGGAGCTCCTCTAACGCGTCAGTCTCCTTCTCAAACTCTCGGTGGAGCTCCTTCAGGGCGCCAGTCTCCTTCTCTAGCTCCCGGCGGAGCTGTTCCAGGGCACGCCAGTTGAGCTGCTCACGGGCACCAGTTTCCTGCCTCAAGTCTTCTCGTAGAACCTGAACGAGGCCCACCACTTTGTCCAGATGGTCATTTGTACCGAGATCCACAGTGATTACAGAACTGCCTGTATGTATTCGAGAAATCAGCATGTGGACGAGTGAGTTATTATTATTGGACGATTTGTTTAGCTCACCAGCCACCATGTGTGACGATGCGTTATTTTCCTCCATCAGACCCAAGTTATTTTCCTGCATGCCTATGCGATCCAGCATCTGACGCTGTTTCTGGACGCGGGGCGCAGTGGGAAGGCCTCAGAAATGTAGGTTCGCTCAATTGGCGGTCTTAATCTTCAATATCCCAGTGAATGGGACTGCAGGAATCGAGGTCAACGAAGACACGATGGTGGTAGCTGATCAACTTTCGTTTGGATGACGCAAATGTCTGACCTCGGTCCCGACGATTCAGATGCCTGAGACTTGCCTGCCCCAAGCAAGCAATTCGGATACGCCCTTCCGATACCCCGAGCAACGGTGTAACACTATCGCGGACTTCCTTGCTGATGCGACTGACCTTCTCCTGAACGGGAAGGTCCTTCTGCTCGATGATGTTCTCCACTTCATTTGCCATCGATGTGAGGGATGTTGTGATGCCGGTATACTTCTGCTGAATCTGACGTGGAGCTGTGAGGTAGAAGATTGGAGAGCGGTTCGGAAACTCGAAGCAAATGAGGCGGTTGATGACCGCAGTTTCTGCAGTTCAGAAACGCAATGAATATGGGACTGAGCGGATGAGAAGCGTTAGTGATGCTCAACTGTGCGATGCCAGTTTACCGATAACTGACTGTGCTTGAAGTTGTTCTGCAGAGTAGGTGTGAATTCGACAGCGCCAATGGCCTTGTTGGCAAGTTCGACGTCTGCACGAACGATGAGAGGCGCAAGGCGAAACTGGATAGGCTATACTTTCGTGCGTTGATAGAAAAGGTCATTTAGGGAGTGCGCGTGTAAGAATGGTTGTCAGGGCTTTGTGAATGGTGTCCAGTGAGCTAAGGCTGAGCTAGAGAAGACTCAGACGAGTGGAAGAGCGGCGAGAGCGAAAGCGTGTCAAGATGGTGATTTCTGATGCATCATTCTGAATCTCTGTGGCCGGTTGTGGACGTTGTGGACGGCGGTGAGCTCAGCCCAAGATCAGCGTTCGTTCAGCGTTTGTTCAGCGTCTCAACGCTCAGCGGAAAACCTGGACAAGCAGATAAAAATAGAACAAACCAGATCGATCAAGCATGAAACGTCATCAATCCAGATTGGGTCGTAATTTCAACGTGCCATTTCCTCCCGTTCCCTCCCCTTCTCAACTTTCTATCTATCTCACTTCTCATTCAACTCGATACTCATCTTTCTTGCGGTCCACTGTCGGTATGCTCAACTACTAAACCTGCCGTCCCCGCATCCCCCAGGCAATTGGCTGAATTTGACGCTTGGGAGCTTAGGCCTTAGGGCTCAGCTGCGAGTTACAGTATCGAAGGTGTGGTGGGTTCTCTACGCTGCCGGCGGAGGTACATTACGGTACGTGACTTTGTTGTGGAATCACTCCAGTGTTGAACTTTATACAGGTAGACAGCAGGTTTTTTCCTCCGGTTGGGGTCTGACCCGTTCTTGCAGGCTGATCAGCTCGTAGTGGGGAAGATCGACTCTTAGAGATAGATGCTTTTGACCTCCCCCGATTGGCGCCTTCAGCTTTCCTGCGTTGATAGACGAGTACATCATTCACATCCCCCAATTTCCAAACAACATCGTCATCCTCTTCTCCCTCCACCAACATCGGCTACTCATTCATCTGCCCTCCCACTTCACCTTCGGCCTCCCTGCATCTCCGACTAACCTCCAAAGTCAATGCAGCACACGATTACAATCCAAATGCGGAACACACATGCGCATTCTACATTCCTCACGACAATTGTCCGTCGATAATTGTCGTTCATCCTGTGTCCGTCTGGCTCCAACGCCCCACTCGCACCTACTCCCTTTTCATCTCATTCCGCCTCTGTTTCTCATCCCACGTCACCCAAGCGCCCGAGCCCCTTCATCCACTCATTCAAACGGTTTACCCTCTTCCACCTCTGCCCCTCTCTCCCGCGTTTTTCCACCACGAAAGGTCGATTTTCAGCAACTAACGAACACTTCCTCCGTTCTGGCTTG